TATGGATTTCATCACAGATCTTCCAAGCTCAAGATCTTATGATTCTATATTTGTGATAGTAGATCGTTTCACCAAGATGGCACATTTTGTGCCATGTACAAAATCTATCACAGGTGAAGAAATAGCTAAGCTTTTCATTGATAATATCTATCGCTATCATGGATTACCTAAAGATATCATATCGGATAGGGGAACTCAATTTGTGTCAAGATTTTGGAGGACCCTTTTCAAGATTTTAAAAGTGGACATAAAACTATCTTCGGCTTTTCATCCTCAAACTGATGGACAAACAGAGCGCGTAAACCAAGTCTTGGAGCAATATTTAAGGTGTACTATCAACTACCAACAAGATGATTGGACAACCCTTCTGCCATTGGCAGAGTTTGCTTATAATAATACGGTACATTCTTCCACGCAACAAACACCTTTCTTTGCCAATTATGGCTATCATCCACGACTTGATACTTTTGATTTTTCAAAAGTTGATAATCCTGCAGCAGAAGATATGGCAAATCGGTTGTCAGAGTTACATACAATAATGAAGACACAATTGAAGGAAGCTCAAGAACGACAAAAGATAAACGCAGATCTATATCGTAAGGAGCAACCACAGATCAACGTCGGTGATAAGGTATGGCTACTTCGTCGCAATATCAAGACTACTCGACCTTGTGACAAGTTGGACTATCGTAGGCTTGGCCCCTTTTCTGTTTCTGAACAGATCAACCCAGTTGCATATCGGTTACATCTACCAGAGTCAATGAAGATCCATCCTGTATTCCACGTATCTCTTCTTGAACCATATAAGACAGTGGATATACAAGGAAGAAGACAAATGCCACCGCCTCCTATAGAAGTAGATAATAATGAAGAATTTGAGGTGGAAGAGATATTAGACTCAAGGCGGCGCCGAAATAAGCTAGAATATCTTGTTCATTGGCGCGGATATGATATTAGTGAACGCACATGGGAGCCATCCAGGAATCTAGCAAATGCATCAACTAAAGTCAAAGTTTTTCATCAACGACATCCATCAAAACCAAGATGAAAATCTCTCTTATAAAAGAGACAAGATTGAGGCAAGACAACATTCAATTTCCTATCCTTGTTTGTAACTTCTTTGCATTTGTGACGCTAATTAGATGGAGAGCCAACAACCAACAGATTCAACTCAAGAACCTTCGTTTGCTGACCTGCCGGACGAGACATTACGATTGTCACAACCTTCAAGACGACGCAATCGAGATGAAGATCTTCAAGAACGACATGTTCTTCCTCGAACAGATGGTGAGATACAACGCGTTTGGTATCACGATTTGGGAAGGGACTCCCGATGTTTGGTGATTTTGCTAGAGGTAGGAACAACTCCTGATGGTGTTCCGAATATTCTATTCGAAGGAAGTTAGGAAGGCCTCAATAATGATCAAATAACTGGGTGGTCTTCCCGCCCTGGTATGGGACACTACCGATGGTTGAGAGGCCCTATCAATCATCTTCGAAGAGAACAGAGATCAGAGTATGTGGCGAATACAATTCGTCGCATCATAGATTTCCTCAACATATGATGACCGCTCCTCGTGGAACTCGTCTCTAGAAGGGGGACAATGTGTCACGGCCATAATCATGTAAGCTAATAATTACATATAGAAATAGGTAGAAGTAAGTAAAAGTAGATAAAAGTAAGTTAATTATATAATATTTAATATAGAAGCTTCCTAGAAACTTCCTAGACGCTGCTTTGACTTCATAAGTGTCTTTAATTGACTTTTTGGATTAGAAACGTGGTCAACAAGTTGGCCATGTGCCACACATGTTGTTAGCTTGAAGATCAAGCTAACTATGTGGCCCACACGTAGAAAAACTTGCCTTGTAAGTCAAGGCATGTGTCCTACAAAGTCAACACATATTGGAGGTCCTATAGAACGTCGCCACGTAGCCCCTAGTTAGATAGTATATATAGAGACAAGAGTGAAGGCTTCTTCACTCTTGTCAACTCCTTTCTTGCTTCTAGTCCAGGTTCAAGAGTCTTTAGTTTCTTGTCTTGTGGCAATAGCCATTCCAGTTTCCTTTTAATATACTTACTTGTTTATATTTTGACTTATTATATCGAGATAGCCTTTTGGTGTATATTTTTCCTCATCGAGTCTTTGTCCTTGACACAATGTTAGATCACAAATGATATAAATCAGCAAAGAAATATAATACTAATGTTCTAAAATATTATTCTAAGGTATTTAACAAGCTCCAAGATTATCTATGCACTTAACAATAAGTAAGATCAAAACTACATCAACAACTAGATGCAATAATGGAATAAGATGACACCAAACTGTAACATCAGCAACAACAAAAAGATCTACTTTTCATAACAAGTAAGTCTTTTAAGAACTTCAAAACTCACAACTAAAGATGATTGGACTCATAATCTATTAAAGAACAAGCACTATGAAGTTACGACTTTAAGCATCAAGAAAGTTGCATACAAAGAGAGTATGGAGTAAGATATCTCTCACTTCTAATATTCAATGCTTACAGGTGGTGGTTGTTGCTCTAGAAGACAACTTCTATTCTTTGACTTTTACACACATGATGTTAGGATCCTTTGGCATCTAACTTACCTCGAGGATATACTATGGTGTTAGGATCCTTTGGCATCTTACTAACCACAAAGATATCCTATGCCAAATACTAATTACTCTTACCTAATCTTTGAATATTCTTTAGTTCATACTTTATTCTCTTGACTTTGATTCTTAGTCCTTGACCTCATCCTATATCTAAAAGATATCCTTTTTAACCACCAAAAATCAATCTTTTGATCATTAACAACTTATCTAAGATAATATCATCTACAAGATAATTTATTCTAGTTTCACTTTTATTTACTTACTTTAATATAAAGAAGTAAAATAAAAAAATTTAATTGCCAATTTTTAAATCTTTGAATTGCATAACCAAATTTTTGGATGTCAAACATAAAGTTTTAATATTTAAATAAAAAAATTGTTTCTATTATTTTATCAATAATTGTGATATAAGATCAATAATTTTATATTTTTACTTTTATATCTATTTGAATTGATCTGATTTGATTTTTTTAATCTTAAAATTTCTTGAACTATAGATTTGTATCACAAAAGATAAGACTAAGTCACTAATTGTGAATACAATTTTTCTAATTGCATTCCTCTAGTTTAATATTTGGCTTCTGTATTCTAAATTTAGATTTTAAAAATATATTTTTATATTTTTAATAATTAAGTCAATTCAATTATACAAGACATCACATTGGTACTATAATTTTAGATTTTGTTATTAAATGCAACATTATGTGGTATTGAAGAGATTTAAATGCCAGCAATATGATCATTAAAAATTGTACCAAACATTTGCATGTGACCTCCAAAATTGGTATTATTTAGGATGTTCAACAACATCTACCATACATTGTATTTAGCCGCATTCTATTGTTAAACACAGATAGACCTACATTGTATGTTAATTCTATCCATAATAATGTGGAAGGTACTACAATAGAGGGTATTATAATATATAAATTATAGAATGCATGCTAGAAAGTTTAATGTTGAATTGGTTGATATCTTTTTGTTATATACAAAAAGTTCAAGAATAATATAAAATAATTGACAATTTGTAAGATGATAAATCTCTATCTATACTTTAAATACATCTGTTTAAAAAATATATATATATATATATATATATATATCGAATTGGTCTTTTGCTAATTCACAATTTATGGGAGATTGTAAAGATAAAATATGAGAATCTGCAACCCATAATCTATGTTCACCAATTTTTGAGGCAATGTCTAATTTACTTCGTGTGGAGTGTGAAAGGAGTGCATAATCCTCAAAAACTATCCCATCTTGCACTATCATTGTCAAACAGGACTGCAGATAAAAGAAAAAATATATATAATTATTACTAAGTTTTTAGAATAAATAAATATTATAATTACAGAAAATTTCCTTGGAATAAATTAAAGCTTGCAAAATATCTAAAGTAGAAATATGATCACCTCGACTAAATCCATCAAAAAAATTAGTGCAACATACATGAAATAATCAATGAAAAAACCGACAAACGAATTATAAATCATTTCATTGATATATATATATATATATATATTTTTTACTGTCATAAAAATTGCAATTTTATTTTTCAAATGCACCATTTACTTTTACTGTGTCGACACAAAATTCATGAGTACTTGAATGATGACGTGCTGTGGATATACCATTTTTGACATTGATCCAATAAGCATTGTAGAAGTCTTCTAAGAAAATGTATAGCAAAATTCAACATAATTACATCCACAACACTATGTATCTATGGCTTTAAAAAATTACATATTTTTATACCTTGTCTAAATAAGTTTTGTAACCTTTTCTTTGACACACTAATGGCATACTCCACTTTTACTACAATTGATGCCAATCACATACTAAAACACAAAGCAGAGACTAGTGCAGTTTTAAAATGTTTTCATGGTCTGATAGATAACTTTGAATATACAATCCTATTAATACACATTTTAAAAAAGTATTTCATTTTGATATATTCTTGCTTTATGAATAACAGAGCCATCATAAAACTTCAAGCACCCATGCCAAATACCTCCAACACATCTACTTCTGATGCTCCAATACTACACTAATCTAAAGGTGTGAAATAGTGAGTCAAAGGTCTCAGCCTTCGGGGATGGGGGGGGGGGTAGAGCCAACTCAGCAAAACTTGTCACTCCCGCCGACATGGCAGACAGCATGGCAACACGCCCACAACAAATTTGGGTGGGGGTGGAATAGGCCACGTCAGATAGGGATGAGCGAAGAAGGCCACGTCAGATACGGATGAGAATTGTCCATGCTTCGTAAACAGACCCCAAATTGAGTGGGGATGAATGCAGGATGGATGGAGAGAGAAGACGAATAGAATGCAGGGCATCCAGTACGCCGAGGGGGGAAAAGCCGCCTCCTCCTCGTCGTCCTCGACCTTCTGCTAGCAGGTTGTGTGATAATAGTTAATATTGTTGTCCTGTTTGCTGCGCTGTGTGTTATGAGGGAGTGCAATTGGTTTCCATGACCTTCATCAGACACCAATTGTAGCGCTATCGCCCTCTCTGGACTACTCTAGGTTATGCTCCTCACACGCTGCTGCTCTGCTTCTTCTTCTTTCTCCCTGTATTCCACCTCTTCCTCATGCGGTGTGACTGTGTGTGTGTGTGTGTGTGTGTGTGTGTTTGGTTGTGTATGTGGTGTGTTTTCCCCGTGAGCGATTGTTGTGTGTGTTGCAATTGGCGAGTAATTAGTCAATTCCTGTGGCGCGCGTGAGACGTCTTGTGGTGTAAGTTGGAAGGGTTGTTATGGAGCAGCGTTCGAGGAGTGGTTTTGTGTTGCGATGGCGAGTTATTAAGAGTTGTGGTGGATGGCGGGGGTTGTGGCGTGATCAATAATGTCGGAAGTTGGATGGTTTGAGTTTGTTTAAAGCGTGATGATGATTGTGATAGTGATTTTCATGGTTGTGGTGGTGGTTGTGCAGGGAGGGGAAGGATCGCGGTTGGCTCCGGAAGGGGGGCAATCATGTTGCGGTAGCGGTTGGCGGGTGTGGGACTTCTTGGGACCGCGGAGATTTCTAGGATTGCTGTTGATCCTTGCAAATCTGGTAAGAAGTGCACTGGCGATGGATGTTTGGTGATGTTTGGAGGTTAGAGGTAGGGGAATTGGGTGTTTCTTTTTCATAGCGCTCTGGGAAGTCTTCGAGAGGATTCGGTGTACGAGTTCGTGTGTGGTTGGAGTGTTTGTCTCGGTCAAAGTGGAGTACGTCACCCGGGTAATTGAATCGAGAACTGTAGGGTGCTGATTGGACATAATTGAACGAGACCTTTCTCAGGCTATGACGATAATCGTGTTTCGTCTTAGCAATCCACAAGACTTCGAACACTTTGGTGAAAGACTTTGAGTCTTGAACTTTTTCTGGAGTTTCAGGTTTGTTTGCAAGTTCCAACAATGTCAGCCGGAGGTTCTCTACTCAAATATTTGAGTTAGGTGATTTCCATCGTGAAGAGTTAGCAATACTGTCTTAAAGCCTTCTGGGTACTCTGTGGACGGCCCTCTTTGTCTCTCTCTTTATTTTTTATTTTTTATTTTGAAAGAGATAGATCAATGAAGAGAAGGTATCCGTGCACACAAGGTGGTAATCTGGATCCTAAACCTGGTTTACCAGATTTTTCTTCTTCTGGGGGATGTGAGTATCATGTTTGGGGTTTGCTAAGTTCCAGCTGTCACGGTGTAAACTGTCCCCGAGTTAATCTTTTGATGACCATTCACACCCTTCAAGATTCAGAAAGTGCACATTTTTCGTAATTATGTATGATGGCGTATGTACATTTGACTAAAAAATTGTCGTTTATAGACTGCGATGAGAGCTTCGCAGCGGAAAGTGTCGAAGTTTCGATTTGTCATGAGTAATCTAAATTTGGAAAATGGAGAGGAATCTTGGCGTAAGGAATTCATGCGAGGTGTAATATCTGTGAATTTCTTAATTCTGGAGCACAGAGCATCGCAGCTTCAACTCTGCTTGAATACTCTTGCCTTTGTCTTTTGTTCGCAGCCTGGTTTTTGAGATTCACCGTTCAATTGGATCAGAATTTTATTCTCTGGGGATTCATTTTGCAACTCTCACTCCCATTTTGTGAATGCCACGGGGTTCCCCTTGTTGTAGGTGAGGAATCGTACTATTCCTCAATTGTGCACGATTTCACGACACTTCAATATTATTAAGTTTTCATTTGTGTCTCTAGATACATATATCTCATCTTGAGTAGGGGCTTTGCTTTCAGGTGGTGACTGTACTATATCTTTGCATCGCATGGTTCTTATACAGTGCTTTGCTAGTGAAATTCACAGTTATTAGCCAAAATGTAATGTGATGAGATAGGAGCATCGATATCCACCTTAAGCATCTTAATTGTGCGCTGTTGTTAATTAGAGGCTGCAGAAGTTTGAAGGCAACAAGTAGATTGCTCTAGGTGTATGCATTTGTTTGATCTGGTCTTATTCCTTAAGATTTCATAGCTTATCGATTGCCCTTATCAATCTCGTGTTGAAAGTGACCATGTGAGTGCAGAGAATTTTGAACTGAGCATTTTTAACATTTTCATTTCACTTTTATTATATAATTAGTTTATTTTCATCTTATAAGATCTTACAATTCTGGTCTTTAGTCTGGATGTAAATGGTCCATGGTTCGACAGTTACCGTAAGAGTTCATTGTGCGAATTTGCTTTTATTGAAAGATGGAGTTCATATTGCAGGTGAAGCATCTGTTGCTTAGAAAGTGAGTGATTTAAAGAAGGTACTATGGCGTACTTTGATCCATAGGAACTTGACAACACTAATGCAGTGATTTTTTTACGAGTGTTTGGAAACACAAGAAGGTTCCCTCTCCACGTCAGTGGAAGACTTATTTTTTTCAGTATTCGTGTCACTATGCAGGAACCACTCCATCGACAGTTTCATGCCCCTCGCTTTCTTTTCTACATGCTTTGTGCCGGTGAGATCAAGCTATTACGTGGACAACACCTGTCGGCACTATGGTTGAAGGGAAAGACAGTCGACTGGACACAAGAAAAGCAGATTCGATCAACATCCAGGACCCTCAACAACGAAGTCGTAGCTTGCGATCAAGACAGAATCGCAAAAAGAATGAATGGCGTCCTGTTTCTGGGGGTTTTGTAGTTCCATCGGAATCTCAAATCAACGCACCAGTAGTTGGGGAGAGAGACGAAAGTTCACGGAAGCTCAATGTTAGTGATGGAGAAGAAGAGATTGTATGGAGTGGACGGGAGAAGCTACCTGAGGTATCGCAGGGCTTGGGCATGAAGAATGTCGCTTTCCATGAGAATTTCAGAGGAACGATTTCAAAGAATACAAGTCCTAGAGGAGGCTCACGAAGAGCACCTGTTCCATGTAAAGTTCCTGCATCCGTACCTGTTCCAGGTTCTTCTTTCACGATGCCATTAGCAATTTCGTCGTGCGCGGAAAACAGAGATGGTTTCGAAGAGGGCAACTTGGTTCTGCAAAGTAGAGGGTTTAAAGAGACTCAAGGTCCTCATCAACATAGGCCTCTGCATCACGACTCAAGAACGAGGACGCGAAACGAAAAGAAGGGCTCTGGAGAATGGCATCCACAGTCTCAAATTCCTCATTTTGCTAGCACAAATGAGTTTTTAGGATTGCCGTCAGTTCCGTGCTATCCCGACCGTGAGGCGGCTCCTGAGTTGGTGGATCCCATTTTTGTTCGTGCACCATTTTACGACTATTGCAGGGGACAATACGCACCAAGTTTCGTTCCTCTTGGTGCCCACCCAACGGGCTTGGAGAAGGATTGGCGCCCCCTGTCTGGTTGCCCGATTGCTTCACAGGAGTTCTCCCATGATAACTTCCTGGTTAGCAGCCAGCAGCAATGTAGCCGATCAAATGGGTTTGGCAGGGGCAAGAAAGATCAAGCCAACATGAACATTCGAAAACGAAAAGGGAAGGGTCGTGGCAACCGGAATAGCAAGAGAGAGGATTCAGTTATGGTAACCATTGTTGAGGAGGGTTCGAGGCGAGGAGCAGGTGCTGAAAGCAAGAAATCTAATCCTCCTCAGGTTCAAGGTCAGGGTAGACGTAATTGGAAACCATCACAAGAGGCTAGCAAGGATGTTTTTGTGTCACAGCCATTCTCTCCAAATCACAACAGGCCTCAAACAATCAAAGTTGGTGCTACGGAGGTAGCTTCCATTGCAGTTGTCAATAATGGAACAGAAAGAGTCACGCTTTCGGCTGTGAGATTGCTCTCTTCTAGCCCGAAAAGCTCTTTCCGTCTTTCCCTGGCCCCGCTTTTACGGGCTTTATCATCCTCCGAGAAGAACGTACCTGTGATTGATACGACTAAATTAGCTCTAAATTCCCAAAGTTTAGTTCGTCCAGGGCGACCTTGGCTCATTGGACCGGGATTACATATCACCTTCGAACTTGCGTGCACTGCATCAACGTTGGGGTTACACAAAGCAGTACTACTCTTCAACGTTGGCACGCAGAAAATTGTTCGTTATATCACTCTTATTTGCGAAGATGACATTGCGAAGGCACTGGCACCAATTGAACCATATGTTCGCTTGCCTCGTCCACGCGTCCGGAGTTTCTACAAGTTTGTTCCTGGCATACCGCCCCCCTTGCCATTGTTCAAGAAAAGGTTAGGAATTTACCCTATCCCTCCAAACGTAAAGGAAGCCATTTTGACGAAAGAGACTCTACCAGTGTTCTCAGAAGGGCTTCGCAAGGAAAACTATTTCGAATATTTTTCCACGCTTATGTTTGCCGAGGAGCTGCAAATGGAGGTCAGACCATGACGTGATTCGTCACTGCAGCTAGGAATTATTTTATTTATAGTATTTGTTCTAAATCAGAGTCTCTTTGTGTCCGATTCTGCAACATCCTCATCCATTCAGTTCTTTCTTCACATGCTGCTTCAATGAGAGCAGATTATACCTTGTGTCATCGAATTCCTTGGAGACTAAATTGTCTTGATTGTTCAGGTAGATATCCGAGCATATGATATGCAGAATGTAACTATGTGGAAAGTGAGCCACACGTTACTCGGGCTTCGCGTGCCAGGTCTGGCAGAAAAGCGACCCTCTGTTATCTATCGTGACAAAATTTATGCGAGGCCTTCTGGAACAACAGCAACAGAATTTCAGGTGTGAAACTGTTTTCTCATCTATGATGCCTTCGTTTTGTCATCATACTGATAGTTTGCAAAATGCCCAATATACTATCTTATAAATACTGTAGCTGATGTCTTGATTCATGAATTATTGCAACAGGGATATGTGCACAAAGTACAAGCTAATGAAGTGCATTTGAGATTCGGTGATGCGTTTAACAAAGGCTTCATCAGCAATTCTCGCTATGACATCCGCTTCTCATTTGGTCGGGTCAACATCAGACGTGCCCATCAAGGAATACAGGCCGCCAAGGCTCTATTGGACTCCTTTCTCTTTCCAACTACAGTTGTTCCCTCTAGGACAGAATCTAGCAAAAAGCTCACCCCATTTAACAGGGCTGCCAATGCCGAGCAAATGAGTGCTGTGCAGGAAATTCTGAAGAAGAGAGGATCGCCCCCTTATCTGATCTATGGTCCACCTGGAACAGGGAAAACTGTGACTGTTGTTGAAGCCATGCTGCAAGTTAAAAGAGCTCATCCGAATGCTCGCATTTTGGCATGTGCGCCTTCAAACTTGGCTTCTGATTTATTGCTTGAACGTCTCATTGGTTCAGTCGAAAAGCGTGACATGCTGCGTCTCAATGCATATACCCGGCCCGTGGACGACGTTCCTTCACACATCATCCCTTTCTGTTCGATTGAGAATGATTTCTTTTGCACCCCTGGTCTGGCTTCTCTGGAGAAGTACCGCATTGTGGTAACTACATATTGGAGTGCTGCGATGCTGGATGCCCAGGAAGTTCATCCTGGTCACTTCACACATATTTTCTTGGATGAAGCAGGACAAGGGACAGAACCTGAAACAATGGTCTCAATTGGGAACCTCGCCAACAAAAATACGGTTGTTGTGCTTGCTGGTGATCACCAACAGCTTGGGCCCTTGATTCGCTCGCCAGTTGCACTAAAGTATGGACTTGACAAGTCCTATCTGGAAAGATTATCTAGTCTCACATCTTACCTGCCATCTAGTGGAAATGGTCAGTCTCTTGTTTATAACAACAGCATGGCGACCAAGCTTGTGCGGAATTATCGTTCCCACCCTGCAATTTTGGACCTACCTTCACGCCTCTTCTATGATGGAGAGCTTGTAGCATGCGCGGACGAAAGCCGGAACTCGCTGCTCGATTGGGATGAGCTCCCGAACAGAAAATTCCCAATTCTCTTTATTGGGATGGAAGGTCGGGATGAGCGAGAGGGTACCAGTCCTTCTTGGTTCAATGCCCAAGAGGCTAGCAAAGTTGTGGATATTGTTAAGAAGATTAAGAAATATCGTCGCAGTCGAGTTAGCCTGAAAGATATTGGTGTCATTTCTCCGTATAACCAGCAGGTCAGCAAGCTTAAGAAGGCCCTTGCAAGTCAGAATTTAGGAGATGTGAAGGTGGGGAGTGTGGAGGCCTTTCAAGGACAAGAGAAACGTGTGATTATCATATCGACAGTGCGCTCGAGCAAGGAATATGTGGAGTTCGATAAGAGGCACAATCTAGGGTTCCTTACTAATCCGAAGCGATTCAACGTTGCAATTACACGTGCGAAAGCTCTTCTAATAATTGTTGGCAACCCCCACGTTCTCTCCCAGGTATCCTCTTGGCATGACCTGGGTAAATGGTTTAAGTTCTACGTTCTTAACTCGTGTTTTTTGAAAGATCCTTCTTTAAGTAAATGTGTGTATACATGGCTGGGTGATGCACCTCGCAGAAAGATTGCTCACCCCAAAGATTAGTTGTTGAGTAGTTATGACAGATTTAATCAATGAATTGTGCTCAGCTGTTTTTTACGTATCGCGAGGGCGTCGGCCTGGCTAACAGTGATTGTCCTTCACCTTTTGGTCCAGGATCGATGCTGGAATGAGCTCTTACGGTACTGTACAGAAAACAACAGCTACATTGGTTGTGCTTCTCCCTTTGAAATCAGCGAGGAGAGTAAGCTGCTGCATTTGGCAATTATTCACAACTGGTTTGATGCGGAGGACACAGCTGACAATGATGGATTGCCAGTCTCGCTTAAGGCAACAGTCGAAGACCCTCAGTGGCCCGATGGCACATGCTAACGCACAATGACCGCTAAGTACTTGTATCCTAGGCCCGTCGTCGCTGAATGCAGGCGTAAAAATAAACCTCTCATGTCATTCCCATCAAGTCTTTCCAGGTTGAACATGTTTCCCGACATCGTACCGGATTGCATCGGCTCATGTTCAAGGGGTGGCTGGCAGGTAAGCGTTCGATACCCCATGTAAAAGTTGTTTTGAACTAGGGCTGGAGAGAGCGTTATAATGATAAAGACAGGTTTAAGTATCCTCAAGATTAGAATTGGCAATTTTCTCTCCTTACCATATCACCCGAACAGTGAAAGTGTGAAGTGCCCGATTTTTCTTACACGGATTGTGATAGATAAAGAAATAAACGTGCACATTTGTTTCACTTTGCTATCAGTGAGAATTTGTCTTGTTCATAGCTACACGGTCGGTGATTCCATTCCCCCCAGCTCGATTTCCATCATCGTCACACCTCTCGGGTAAGTTTACCGTTGTCACAGATTCGATTGCCAAAGTTTGGTGGCTGTGCTGATGAAGTCTATTCTTCACAACCTCTTAAGTATTTGATGCAAGCAAGTTTCTTGTTCTCTTATGGTCTTCCAATGCAGTGACCTCAGAGAGGGTTATGGCCTGTATAATTTGATAATTTTAGAGGCTTTTAGAATTGTCAAGAATACATTTCCTCTTTCACTCTTCAGTTCATGATTTTACCCAAATCTGTAAGCAACCACCAGATCAGGATCTGTCCAGGCTATGGATGCAAGATCTGTTCTTAAGTGGATCATGTAGCCACAATCGTTACACAGAATAATCACTGCATAGATAAACATGCCATAGCTAAATAATATGCACAAGCCTTACTTAGTCTTTACAAAAGAGAAAGTTGCAAATTGTCAATTGACAGACATTGCTGAAGTACAAATCAACATCTGCAGACAGTAGGCAGTTCTTCATGTAAACTACTTTCAAATAAAAAAGGCTTGTACAAATTTGAGTGAACTGAGGTTGATAATGAGGAAAGTAATCTATGACCTCCAAAATCCTTTTTACTATTAAGGGGAGAAGGAATTCAGGCATAAATGGTAAAAATAAAGACTTTGAAAAAATGTTTGAACTAATAGTAGTAGATAATCCACCTCTACTAAATGTTTATAATTAAATATTGATTTAAATAGATTAAGTTATAATTTTGATGCTTTATTTTTAGCAAATTAATATAGGATGATTTTATGCTTAAAACAAAAGATGTTGTGTATACGAAAACTAATTGAATTTAAAGTTAAAGGTATGCCTTTTTAAATATAGGTATGTGGTGGTTTTTATTGAATCTATTATACTGTACATGCTATACTTTTGATAGCAAATAGATAAAGATTTCAATGTTGCTAATAGAAAAAAGTGATGCAAGATCAAATCCTCCTTAAATGCCAATAATTATTTTTCTTTAGTGCAATTATCTTATAATATTAAAACTTTTAGATATTGTCAATCTTTTTTAAATTTAAATTTAACTATATATTTTTATGTTTTAACATAATCAAACATAAAAATTATAATATACTATATTATAGTTATTAGATTAAATTTAATTATAATATAATATACTATATTTTATAGTATTAAATTTAGATAGGTAAACTTTTAAAATTTAATTATAATATAATAGTATATTATAGCATTAGATTGTATTTTTTTTATAGTTTTCTAATATTAATAAAATAAATATTATACTATATTTTTATTCAATCTAATTTTTTTGTATTTTTATCTAGTGTGTTTATTTTATTTTATTTTAATAAATATATTCTATAATTTTATTTTAATTTATAAATTTTCTATTTATAAATTTAATGCATATATATATATATATATTTAACTATTTTATATCTAAAAAAGAAAAATATCATAATATGAAAATACTAGAAATTAATAGATATAATACAAAAACTTAGATTTATACTACAAACAACACACTTATAAAAATTACAAAGTATAAAATTTTAAAACATCATATAAATAAAAATAAATATTCAATTGCATAATAATAAAAATATTTGTAAATTAATTTGTAGACTTTAAAAAATATTAGAAAAATAAAAGTAAATAAAAATATTTGTTCTATTAATGTTAATTTTCTTAACAAATAATTTAAATAAGCTTAAACATAATAACGAAGGCATATTTTGAGTAATTAAATATATTTGAGTAATTCGAAATAATATTATATATATATATATATATATATATATATATATATATATATATATATATATCAACTTTGTTTTAAAGTGTTTAATTTTTCAAACATATTTTTTAAAAAATTGATACATCCAAAACTGAAATTTATACTTTTATGAGACACGAGAAAGTCAATACAAAAACATTGCCAAATATTTCTAGAATATTATTTAAATGAAAAAAACTACTTTGAATATAACTACTTATAATGTCATAATAGATTTTAATAATTTTTTAGTTTCATTTTTTTCTTGTAACAATGAGGTTAAATATAAGGTATTGTTAATGCTACCACAATTTTTACTACTACAAACACAATACCTTCTACCACATGCAATACCATAAATCTATTATTTATAACTTTAGAAATATCCTAAATTATAAATAATAGATTGGCATCATTTATCATGAACTCTTAGATGCAATAAAATTGGAATTAAATGAATGAGTAAGTTTAATGTATACTTTTCATGAACCCCATTTTGTGCTTTATGCAAAATTACAAATCAACCTGTGAAATCTTCAATGATATTTGATTGTATAAATTGAAAAAGATTTGTGTGTGTGTACCACACATCTATTATTAATGCATCTTGTGCCTTACTAAATCAAAGCACTGGGTCTAATCTTTAACTTGTTAATGATATCATTTGGTTTGCATATTGAAATTTGCATGTAACTCTATAATACATTCATTTTTTTTTATTGAAACTCATACATAGTTGCATACATCCACATAAATTGCAAGTATGTTACCAGTTATAAAAGCCATATATTCTTTTTATAATGCAATACATGAAATACTAGTATTAATAATTGAACACTTTCAAAATATTCAAAGATTCACAAGTTTATTTATTTCTTTTTCGGATCTGTATTATGTACTTTTTTAAAACTAGTACAAGTAGTGATGAATAATGTTTAAATATTGTCACAGATGTTTTAATTCGCACAACATTGAGTGGTAAGTTATGTCCAAATACGTGATTAAGCATGCAATAGACAGCAATATAGAAAGAGGATGATAATTTTGTTTATGTACATACATACATACATACATAAGATTTATACATTGTTATGTCTTACACAGAATAGACCATGTTTTATGTTATTTTGTTCTTGTCCCTATGAATCACGTGAAAGGTTTAAATTGGGGCTTTGTTACATGACTGTTCTGGTGAAGGCTAGGAAAGATCACTGTGCCAAACGGAAGTCAAGGCAATATTCAACTTAATGAATTCTCAATGCAAATGTATGAGACATTTAATTTATATACGCAGCAATATCAAGTGGTTTAAATTAGAGGTAGTGACAAAAAGAATGAGAGAACAGTCCTGCTTTGAAGCTAAGATAGATAGGTTTTTGTGAGGTATGAGGATTTTGGACTACCCACTCACTTGGGGTGCACTGTTGGACCCAATTGCCAGATGGGTATAGGGATAGCAGAGCAGGCAAATTTGAAGTTTGACTTCTGAAATGCTTTCGCCCTCTCGACCACACAAAAAGAAAAACAATAAGCTTACGGTAGCCTCCGAAACAGACAGATCACAAGGTCGAAGGATTTTGTGCAAACTGAACAAACGTGTCAGATCATCAAACAAACAAATTTGAATACTTTGCGCATGCGGTGTATCTACCTTGTGGACCACTTGCACCTTTCACATGAAAAAAAAGAAAAAAGAAAAAGAAAAAAAAGGGATTCAACACTAACGTATGCTAGTAGAACTTCCGACATCAATCAATAAACTATTCCTGAAACAGAAAGTGTTCAAGTCTCTGTTCTTGTGAGCTTATTTACGTAGTGGGCGGAATATAAAAGTGGTTACTAGGACAGATTGGAACCAAGTAGGCCATCTGAGCAGACCTGACCAAGATTGATACATAATCCATATCTTTCGTGGCGTGCTTGACAGCACCTGGAAAGTGTACCAGAACCATAGCATTTAAAATCGTGGTAGTATGATTCATTTCCAGTCAATGAAAAAACTAGCGCCAAGCAATCCAGCTATCATGAGTCATTTTTGCAACATTCGTTGCCTACGTCACCCAAAGAAAAGAGTAAACGTTGATGGACAACTGACCTATTTCTGGAATTTTACTAACCATTGTTTAATGTGCAGACTCTTCCAATTTGATTTCTTCCCAGAATTCCTCCTCAGGAAATAATTGTCTGCTACAATTTCGAGGGGAAGTTGTTGACTTCACCTTGCTCCAGAACAGGCTGCCCATCCGCTTTGTAGGCAATCTTTACCCTCATGACCAACGGTTTCTGCAAGCAAAAATATCTCAAGGATTCTTGATTCGGAGGTACAATTAACTGCATTGGGTGTTGCTTCGATGTGTGGTTTGTTCACGCGCAAACAATCCGTACAGTTCTTCGGTGCTCATCACAACCCTTGCTATATCCTTGTACGGCGTTGAAAAAGTCATCAAGAATGAAGTGGAAGAATTACTAGGTGCGAATTACACACCTGGCCATGGAGGCTATTGGTTACTGTCAAAATTTGTGTAATTACGCCACTGCTATTTTGTGGTAGAGAGGAACCGCTGGCTGGATCCAGACGCAGCGTCATAAACTGTAGAATGAGCACCAGAATTGGAGTAAGTATTCCAATCTTACAACCACAATACTTTCATAACCAGGAAGAGTTCAGTAAATCGCCTCAGGGCACCTTGGGCACTGCAGCTTGAAAGAGGAAATCTGTGTATGGAGTTGTAGATGTGTTGGTGAAAATAGCCTTTATAACCGTTGTTTTCGGGGATTCAGGTGACTTCGTGAATTCGTAGTTCACCTTCAACCCTTGAGTTTGCAACGCCAATATTGAAGGATAAACCTCAGCTTCTGTGCACACCCGAATGACAATGAAACCCACTTGCCTTCAAGTAAAAGCATCCTGAATATTGATCCAATAAACAATGAACGAAGGATATCTGTCCGCAGGACGCTCATCATAAAATACTCATGAAGTAATACTAACCTGGCTGATCCAGTTTCGCAGGACGATAAAAATCACCTCCAAAGGTACTGTTGAGAGTAGAAATGGGTTCCACACCAACCACTTCATCTTTAGCACTTGGAAAGTCGCCCAGCAGGGAAGTCCTGTGCTCTAACAGCACTTTTGATAGCTGATTATCACGTGGAGAGATTCGACTGCTTGCCGCAGGGGATTCATCGAGAAAAAAACTTCTTTGCAACTGAGTTGGTGTAGGTTCAGTGTGGGTAGAGATTCGACTGGTTGTCGTTGGGGCGTCCTCAGGTACGAAACCCTCTTGTCGTTGCAGTGTGGGCTCCGTAACACCAAGTATAGGAACTTTACGCTGCTGGGATGTCAAAGGCTCAGTATGGCTTCCCTGACTACTTTGCAACCGTGCGTCATTCGAAGATATTCTCTGTAGACGTGCCTCATTTATGGAAAACCTCTTCTGCTCGGCTAGTGTTAGTCCAGGATCCACGGTAATAGCTCGTGGGCTGCGCTGAGAAGATGACGAAGACTTACGACCAAGAATAGAATCTCGACTGGTTGTAATTGATATTCTTTCTAGGAGCTTGAGTGCGAGGGAGCTACTCCGATCCGGAGATAGCGTTGGCTCAACAAGAGAAGCTATTTGTTTATTTGTCGACAAGATTTCCTCTTCTAGGGGTGACTTGCGAAGATAATGTGGCTCCAACTCAAGGATGGACATTCGGTGGTCGATCCGCGAGTTGATAGGCGATTTACGGAAGTCCTCTCGATTTACGGAAGTCCTTTGGGATGTTGTGGAAGATGCAAGCTTCTTTAAATTCGAGGATTCAACTTCTTCATCTGCTGCCAAAATATTCAGGAGCGCGCTAGCACCTTCTATTGAGAGTCGCGCTGTCTCAAAATAACGTTGAATGTAATTTTTTTTCATATCCACCTGACACAACAAAAAATAGAAAAAAACCAAAAACCAAAACAAAAAATAGAAGCAGAAGGACAGAAAGAACGAGAGAGAAAGAAAGAACCGCGAGAACATATGATTGATCTTGAACATCTTATGCATTTTGCAGAAAAAGCCAGTCTTTTTCAGTCTCTTACCGAATACAGAACGCAAGACATCATGCCAATCAGAGGTTCATACTGAGGAGGTCAAATTACCGGGAATAGGATTGGTCACAGCTGATGTAGAACTTCGACTGCCGCCTACTATGTCATACGGCGCATCTCCAGCTGAAGCCGGAAGTGCTGAGGCTTCTTCTATTGGTTGTATAGTCAGCATATCCATGAGGTCATTTGTAGTAAACTTTATGGCTGCTACATCTGATGGAGGTATTTTACCGGTGGGACTTACAGAATGACTGCCATACCTTTTATCATAACCAGTGCGTTTCGAAGAGTAAGATGCAAAATCCAAAATGGGCATCCTCTCCGTAAGTGATACTCTGCAGAACTCAAATTCCCACTACTTAGGCACAGATATAGCTCACCAAAGAGAGCAATGTTCAACTTCGCAAACCGCCGCGTAGACAATCAACGCTGTCTAGAACATTAACTGTGGAGAGCATGGTAAAGACTAACTTGAGATTAGAATGACTAGAAACGATGGATCCAAACTCGAAGGATCGCTGCTGCAATTCCAGATCTATGGAAGTATGATATTCCTGTAGCAGTGATTCGACACGCCTGTGACACAGAAGTACAAGCTGTGATGCCTCTCTGATGAATCGAAGTAAAACATGGAATTCCAGCTATCAAGAGCGACAAACCAAAGCATAGAAAGTAATAGATATGCTCTAGAAATCAATAAAATCGGAGTCTTACTCTGTGCAGTGCGGAAACCGAGACGACAGTTTTAACAGTGCCATGAGACAGAATGCAATTGTAGTCGAATTTACTCCAGGATCGCGCAAAACATTCTCTATAACGTCCACAGCATCTGATTCTGTGACCTGTAAAATTGAGTCCACTTCAATCAAACCAGAAAGTCAACCAAATAGCTAATCAAATATGAGTACTAAGGGGCAGAAGATATTGTTAGGGAAGCCATACTTCGGCGCCGTTTCTCATTATCTGATTCTTTCAAGAGGATGTGGCTTCCTGTTATGGAACCAGTAATCTCGGTCCTTATGCTTCCATAACATGAAGTAAACAAGAACGTTACATAATGGTGTGACAACAACAGAGCATCTGCATTCTACTTACTGTTTGGGGATCCTCGCCTTCTAACTCGCTTAAATTGTTAACCAGCATGTCACCGTATTCACCAATGCACCACACTGTCACTTGAGCAAGACTTTCCTGCTCGCAAAAACAGACGATTACTTACAACCCAATTGCGAAAACCAAAATCCTCAGTTCAAAAGAAAATGGTTCAATTAGAATCCCCAAGAAGAAATGTTCTTTTAGTCAATTCCAAAAAGATTTAAATTCCACCATAAGCTGAAAGTTTACAGCTACTCGCTCACTTTCTTCTGCAACGAATGTTCATTAGTTCATCTAGAATTTCTAAGCAAGGATGATTCTTCAATTCAAACTAATTGCAACTTTGTATACAATATGCGCAAATGGAACATAGAGTTCTTTCGGTACCATTTTGGACCATTCGAACACGTCCTCCACAAGTTATCAATTGTAGAGTAAATAATATTTTATGAGGGACAGACGCACTAGACCTGACCGGTCCACTTGTGAAATGAACGATAAAGTGTCCTGACAGCATATCCTCGAAGATCGATAGCGTTGCTGACTACAACCACGAAATGCCACACGACCTCATTCTTGACATACTTCCCAGCCTGTCAAAGTAACAACCAGTAAATATTGTAAATCCAAGGCATTCATGTGCATTTCCTTCATTAGCAATTCACAGGCTGGAATTGGTGAATTAGTTCACTTCCATTCAGTTCTTGAGGACAAATCATCTAATTCAGTCCGGTATGTTTTTTACAGAATCATATAGCACAGCTGTACAAGTCATGCAAACTCTATCAAAAGGAATGAGTAAGTTCATCATGAGGCAAAAGAAGACAACGTTTTGTGCTTCAATTCAGGTATATATTACTAACGTAAGCCCAATTGGCTCTTATGTTACATACTGAACTTCAGAAGCTGATTCTGAAGACAAGCAATCTCAACGCAAAGTTCCTGTTTCAAGAAACGGATCCGTTACCTCCAGCATAATCATGATGATCTGGTCAATGTACCAGAGCTTTGTTGGAGCAAACCTGCGTTAGGATAAGAAAAAGAAAATGAAAAAAATTAGTAGTCAAAATCTTCCAGCTTAAACTAAAGAATAGATAGCCTTGACCCTATACAAATTTTATATCGTTATCGCCATAAATCTGTCGATCTGCATGATTAGCCTCTAAGTTTTAAATCTCCCCTATGCTTCTATTTGGCTCCACTGTAGATCACAGATGCACTATGATAATTTTGTTCAATCTGGATATAGACAATCAAAGATAGCGAGCTTTAATATATTCATGTTTTAAAATTTTAAGTAGTTTTTTTTAAGCTTTTACTTTTTGGAGTATGACATCGACACAATTCTGTGCCCAGCTGAGTTTGCCCAACTAAACATGCATACATGCTTTCCATTCACCGGGTCAAGTGTCAGTCCTCGCGGATGAAGGAGCCATGACTGGCAGGATAAAATTACTTGTGCACAAGAGCAGCAGTCTTCGTCGCAAGGTCTACTTTGAACTCTGGGTCGCAAAACTTCAGATATTCAAGTAGCTCAGTAGTCAATGCCTCAACGTTGCTCTCGTTTACAAGGCTACAGACAAGTTCCAAAGCTCGCGCTCTTATTGAAATGTCCGAGTCCTGGATACGTAGTCAAAGCATACACTTCGAACAACATGATCATACACCAATAATCAGGATCATCAAAAAGACACGAAGAAAATATAACCAATCTTCGCTGCGTTTCCTCAGAACTGTCTATGCGCATTATGACATTAGCCAAAATTTTCATGCACTCAAAATTTAATGGAAACAAGGATCTAGTAGGCCTTAAATTTACGAAGACGTGTCGAAGTCACAATGAGAGGATATTTGTTTCAACAAGACTACTACTGTTACAGATTATGTGTTGATCAAAAGATTTGTGTTGAATAAGCAAATCAATCTGTAACATACAGTGTAGAATACTTGCAAGGTAAATCCCCTCATATTTTAGGATTCTACCCAAATCTAGCTTTCCAAAACATTAACTGTAGCTGGTCTGCAGCATTATCCCCATTTCACCCAAGTTGATAACTACTCAGAGACAAAACCCTTCATGCTTCAGAGGTACAACATTCATTCTGTAGCCACGTAAGCCATTCGTTCTTCTTATTAGATAAGACTTAAAAGAGAAAGAAAAAATTAAAAAAATTATATGGGACCGAAGAAAATGAAACTAGATGCGCAGCACTTAAAACTGTTGCAAAGACACATATTTAAGACACACCTTGATGCAGTTTACAATTGTCGCACGATGGCGCTGTACAGCTTGATTGTCCACAGCGACAACCTTGACAAGAGTATTTAGAGCCACGTATCTGCAATCAGAAATTATAAGCTCAAGACCTTCCATTCACCGCATGGGCAAACTTTCATGTATGACCGAAACTCTTGGGTCAGGAAACAGACGTCCCGGAGATAAAATCTAAATTAAATTTATGAAATCTTTCAAAATATACCGAATAAAGAATTATAATTGACCTCAATCGATGCAGCTCCACTACCTGTGAAACTATTACAGGAAGGAAAAAGATAAATGACCTTATGTTGTTATCCATGTTTGCCAGGAAGCGACCAAGGATGTTAATTGCCAGGACTCTAAGTCCTCCAATATCCTCTATTGCCATTATAGTAAGCACACATTCATATAAGATAGCTTTTCCAGCGTTCTTGGTACCTTCCGTGTTGGTAGCAACCTGCAAGAGGCAACAGATAGTGACGATCATTAATTTTATCCATAATTAGACAATCCATAATAAAAATAAGAGAAGATAAAGAAGCCGCATTCCGTGCATTCAACAATCCGTTTCACGAAACATTCAACTCCTATAAAGAGATCAGACAAAGTTGCATTTTTCAGCAAATTTTAAATAGCAAGTATATAACCCACTAACCTGTGCAAGCACGTCGCTCATTACATCACTAGATTCATTGTCCCCCCTTCCTACAAGGCGCAAGAGCTTAAGAAGTTTTATCTGCAGAAGAGGATCTGAAATCCCAGTCACATCGTATTCGGAAGCGTAGCCGCTTAGCACCAGACTCTTCAGTACTCCCACAATCGTTGATACTTGCTGCACGCTTATCGACAGTGCCATTAAATGTCAATGCATTAGGTGTTTCTAAAGCTTGGGCTGATTGGAAGTTCATCAAAACGAATCACAGTCATAATCAAACATTCTTGTACTCTTTGAACAACATACAACAGGACAAAAATCAAAAGTATACCTTTCTGAAATGTTCAAGTGCTGCGGCACTGGCTTGACAGAGCTCAAAGCACAGTTTAACTCCTGCAACAAGAACACCATGATGCTTACCCATGAGGAGGTTTAACGCAGGCCCTTTGTACGACTCAATCAGGTCTGGAACTTTACGCACTATCCGAACTGCGCACAGGGCTGCCTACAAGACCACGTGACCCCGCTCTGCATCATTGAATTCTTAATCTTTTCTTGTGTGAACAAAGACAGTTTTAATAAATAAATCGTGCTAGATGCAACTATCATCACCTATCAATCTCTTCTGTAAACCTCCTGATGATAATAGATGGAGATAAAAGGCCATAGATATCCTTCATTGCTCATGAGAATCTCAGTAGCATTTGGAAATTCATTAAACCCAAAATTGATCAATGCCTTGAACCAATATTACAATTGTGCCATCAGTTAATAAAACAAAAAATAAATAAATCGTAAAATACGTCTATAATTCCCAGAATTCAACATGAACATTGTCATGGAATGTACAAAACACGACGACAATAAGGACAAAGACGTCCGGGTCAGATAAAATACTACCTTCTTGCGAATATAAGCATTGCTGTCACTGAGTAGCTTCTCCACTTCTGCCGAAAGATCACGAGCCATATCTGCTGTGCAGATATTGCCCAGAGCACAAAGAGCCAGTCCAGCGACATGTTGATTTGTATCATGTAGGTCACTTCCTTGAGTTAAGCTCCCAAAAGAAAATAGACTTCGTGCGATAAGTGGCCATGTGAATGTCCTCCCCTATTATGCCTGACCTCTTATTTGGACTGGTTTGAATCTAAATGCCCTCTAAGTTGTGGAGACAATTATAATGATTCCATAAAACCCAGAGAAAAACAATAAAAACTTTATTATTAAAAACCTCAATGCTTACAATAGAAACTGGGAATCCCAGCATAGATTCAGCATGAATCGGGATTGGATACTTTTTTATTGAATTAGTGACTAACATTAGCACTTCTTGGCGCTCATCAAGAAGCACCATAAGCCCCAAGTAGCCGATCCGCTTTTCCGGAAAGTCACCCTCTGCAATCAGCTTTATACACTCCATTTGCCCAAAGTGTGTTGGATAGCCCATCATGTGAATGAAAATAAGCTTTGCAATGTTACGATGTCGGTGATATTGAACAGGTTCTTTTAGTAGATCACGCAATGCAGCGCACTCTTTGGTAACTACAGTCCGTTCCTCAGCAGCTGTTTTACATGCCCGGATGGAATTTATCATATCCCTGCACAGGCAAAGATTGCTACTTCTCAAAGCCAAAGCACACAGCTTAAGTACTTCGATAACCTTTTCTACAATTAGAGAAGAGTCGGTGATCTCCACCAGCAATTAGCATCTGCAAGGATTTGAAGAAGACGAGGAGTTGAGGCAAAAACCTTAGTCTGTTCCCCGCGATGAAAGCCATAGAGCAGATCTATTCTGCCACTTCAACCTACAGGTGTGGTTCCATTTACGACTCACTACTCCATTATCAGAATATAAATGCAAAACTTGGCATGCAATCGTAGTTGTCACCGGCGCGATACGCCTTTCATCGCGGAAACAAGCTTTGCGACCTCAAAAATTACAAAAATTTCTGCCACCTGATCTTTCCATACACAACCAATTAGAATGAGGTCTAAAAAAGTTTTTACTTTCAAAAGATTGAAATATCGAGTTGAAACAGAGTAGTCTCAAGAACTTGTTCATTGCGTGTGGATACAATATGCAATCTACAAGTTTATTCAGAACTGGGGATTCAAATTACTGGCAGCTCCCAATGGAAAAATTGATTTATCCGAACCCAAGTAGAATGAAATAGGGCACTCAATAAGAACAAGATTGTGTCGAAGTACTCAACGTCAAAAGAGCGAACAATGTACATTACTCAACATTATATTTAAATTTCTCCTTGACCAGATTTCAAACTAAGAGAGCAGACGATAAATCCCGTGAAAAGAGAGGTTGAAATGGAGGACCTCAAATCCGCCAAGGGAACAGAATCCTAACGCGATACACGAAATTCTATAAATCAAAATAGCCTCCGCGGATACGTTTCAGATCTAAGAAAAACCAATTTGGATCATGCGCAGGAAGAAAAATAAAATAAAATAAAATAAACAGTGAGACAAGAAAAGCCAAAGTCGAGGCTGACAGGAAAAACTCAGAGGCTGAGGAAATCTGTACCAAACCCCTACCAAAAACTCAATTTCTAAAGTACCAGGACTCCAATCATAAACAATCACTTATAAGTAGTAAACATATAGAGCAATGCCAATCCACATTCACAAGGCGACAGACGACGACTGCCAAAGGGCAACCAAGCATACCTTATCAATGACACAAGATTCTCAAACAAAGAAGTACGCGGACAATGAACGCACCAGCCAGAGACAACATGCGCTTCATGGCAATCGAAAATTACACTTGATATGTCCAAAACAAGTGACTCGGGAGATAGTCACAGCCCACACGAATGAGAATTGCGGCATTCGCTGTAGGTACACAGAGAGATGGTGGATGGGAATGATAAACATAAAAACGCAACATGGCTCTTTAAAGAATTCCTGGACTTCAGCAAGATTAGGCTTCCGATTCGGATAACGTAATACAGTGAAAGGACTTAACTACGGCGAGAAGGGTGGAGACGTGAAGCGGTGCTTGCAGGATAACAACAGATTGGTGCTTCGACGTCGACAACAGCGGTGATGGAGACCATATTCAGGGCTGCGGAGCGTTGAGCGTCCAAGATTTGCATTCGACGATGGAATCTGAACCGCGGAATCACGAGGAATGAAACCCTAATTTTGTAAGATCCTTGGATTTGTTCCCCACATCATTTGCAAGTGTGAAATATCAAATACTATTTAAAGAAATTTCACTAAAGAAGATGGTTTTGGACCTATACCATAGCCTCTTCCTCTTTTACAGTGAGGCATAAATCTTCCTCTTTTACAGTAGTTGAAGCATAAATCTTAGATTTGTAGCAAGCAATAAGCATCTTATTGGCCAAATTTGTTACTACAATTCTATATTGTCTATTAAATCTTTAAGAATAAGTTTAAATCATGTGTTGGCAAGTATCTACTATGTTTAAACCTTCCAAATACAAGGTATTCTCTATCATTACAGAGAAGTTTATTTGCAATTAAAAATACTCATGATATTGTCCAAATTAAATTTTTATAAGATTGTATTTGAAAGTCAACTTATAAGGTCTTATTACATATTCTCCAAGAAGAGATTCATCAACTTACTTTTGCATTATGATAGTTCATGCATTCAAAGTGTATGGAAATAATTGACATGTTTTTTTTAATAAAAGAAAATTATAAAAAAATATATGAAATCATATAATATCCCAAGTATGGAAGTTGGATTAGTAATGCATGTCTTTGTAGTTCACAAAAGGTAAGATTGTAGCTAATGTGTTGCAATTGGTACATGTAAATCTTAGATTTGTATATCACATACAAAATTCTTTTTTTATAATAAAGGTTTTAGCTTAGTTTCCAAAGTGTTTTTAGATCTAAGTAACGACACTCCTTTCTTCTTTTTAATAAAGGCATAGATGAACAATCCATAGAAAACCAATTTCTATATTATCAAAAAAGTGTATTTTTAAAATTAAGCAAGTTTAAGATTTTATAAAAACTTATGGATATTACGTCTATGTAAGCTTGTAGAGAAGCAAGGAGAGAAATAATGATACAATGTTGGTGTATAAAGCACTAAATAACCTAAATCTAACTAAATCTAAGAGAAGATGAAGACTTGTTTGCTACTCTCTAGTCACCTAAAATCAAAACTTGATATATGTTATAATTAAGTATCTCTTTAGCCATGTTAGAATTATTGGTTTTGTGGAAGGGTCAACTAGAAAAAAAAATTTAAAGAGTAAATTCAAATTGGAAAAAATAAATAAATAAATAAATAAAAAATGCTTTGATTTGCAATCAAATTTTTAAAATAGAATTAGAAATGTCTTAATACTATCACCATATAGAACTTTAATAGTTGGACACAATCCTATTGAAGTTCTATAGGATTGTACTTCTAAGGTTGTGACTCTAACATTGATTTCAAATCCAATTAAAATCTTAATTGACCAAATGGTTTAAGAGCTATTAAGATCATCACATGTATTATTATCAAAAAAATTATCAAATAAGATTCAAAAAGTGGACTCTTAAGTAGCAACCTACTTAGAACAAGTTTTGGAAGTTGATTCAAACAACCACAAAATTTATAAACTAAAATTTTATGTAGTCCTATAGAAGGGTGGAAATTAGAGGTACAAGTGCTAAATCCAATTATTTGAAATATATATATATATATATATATATATATATATATATATTATGTTGATTTTGCATGGATAAAAAATATAAAATCAAAGAATGTACCATAATACAACAAATTAAAAAATAAAAAAAATAAAAAAATAAAAAATAATAATTAGAGTCAAAATAATCAAAGAGGTGTTAGAAGATTAATTAACTATTGAATATTAAGATCACTCATCAATGCCAACAAAAAATATGATAGTATTACAACACGCCTAATACAATTATGATTTTATCCTAATATATAAGTCTTGTAGTAATAAAAATCATTTGAAATAGACTTAAAAAAAAATACAAAGTTTCACACAATAGAAGTTTTATCTATTAATGACATAAGTTGGGAGATTTATAGGAAGGTGTGTAGTATTTACATGAGTGCTCTTGGCCACAAATCATAAAATTAAGGCTAATTGTAGACTCATTAGTGCTCTTTAAAAGATACGGTTTGGATTTGATATGTAAAGTGTGTAGTGTGATTACAATACAAGATTTATCTTCTAGTCTTAAGCTTGTAAAACATGCTAATATCATAGCAACAGCAACAACAATTGTTGATGATAGAATCCAATATGCTACTAGTGCTCCTATAAATTCTTTTATCATTATCAACTATTCCTTCTCCTTATTCAATTTTAAGTACTACTTTTTGTATAGTGTGAAAAAAACTTGAGCCTTATTGGTATTTAATGTAGCTAAATTTAATATACATCTAATTTCTTAGATTATTATTAATCCTTACACATTCAAATCTAAACTCACTACTAATAGATTAGAATTGAATAATTTTTTTAATAAACAAAAGAGTATTCTTATAAGCTCACTATTCACTTTAAAAAATTAGAAATCTAAAGATAATTTGATTTGATTATATCACACCAAATACCTAAATACTTTGGTAAGTAAATTATGATCTAAATTCCTCTATTACAATATTGATAGATCTATAAATAAATAAATAAAATAAATAAAATAAACAAACAAACAAACAGAAATAAAAATAAAAATTACTAATATGAACTTAGAAGACTTAGATATATTACATCATCAGTTTAAACCTTATATTGGTTAACTCTCTATTCCTTCTCATCTCCCATCTTTCAAAATAAGTCATTTTATTCTTTGCAATAAGTATTAATAAGCATATAATCTTTAATTAATGAAATTCAATAAAAGCAATCCAAAGCTTGATTAATAAGTAGTGCTCTTATTGATTATTGGAGATATATTTCTTTGGCATGTAACTCTTCTAAAGTAAATTGATCACATGAAGAAATGACATTCCTTTCTAATAAAGAAAACTTCTTGTATTCATATTTGATGTCAAAATGGTAGCCTCTGATAATCCAAATTAGATAAAATGATCAATGTTCAATCTTTTAAAATACATAGAGATTCTCCAATGTCCAACAATAAAGCTTGGAAGTAGAGCCAGAAGCCAAATCATTTTGAATGCACCATCAAATATTAAACAAATAATCTTACTTTAGAATTCAAAAAGAGAAAGCAATCTTCTTCTACAACTTCTATAACCAATCAATTTGAGGAGTCTTAGGCCATAGAAAATCAAAAGAAATTTTATCCAATTAGAAGTAAATCAATATAAGAAGTTATATTCAAAGCATTTAATTTAGATATGGTATATTATTGATTCAAGAATATAAGCTTTGCAATTTAAGAGCCCAAATTCTAAGAAAGTAACTTTAGATGTTAGTTGATTTTTAAATACTTGAAATTTTATCAAAATCCACATGATATAAGAGTTGAGAGATGAGACTTGCACTCAGGAGTTTTTTAAAGCAATGATCTATGTAGAAAATAATTTTATGTATTGGAGATATATATATATATATATATATATATATATATATATATTAAAAAAATAAAAAAATACATATTAATATTTTGGCTTGTCTTCATAGATTTTATATAAGAAAAAATATTTTTTTAAAAGCAACATTCTTCTACATAGTATTAAAAGAGATGTATACATATCAAATCATCTACTTATAGGATTATCTATTCAATTTATTTATACTCATAGCTAAAGATCTTCCTATAAGCTAAAAAATTTATATTTTAATATCAAAAGGATGAATTACAAACAACCAAAAAGTAAATAAATTCTTATGCTACTAAAAAAGAATAAATAGTCATTCAAAGATAGTATAATATTAAAACTAAAATGGCTATTACCAAAGACAAAAAGACTATAAATTCTTGAAACAAGATTAAGAATAAAAAAATGCCTTGATAAAAATAAAGAAAACTTCACTCTTGTCTCTATATATACTATCCAATTAGAAGCTATGTGTCAAAGACAAGAACTTGATTAAAGCAAATAAACAAGTGAGACTCTCTCAAAGAAATATGACAAAATAGAAATAGAGAAGTCTGTATATTAAAAAAGAAATTAGAATAGCTATTGCCAAAAGATAAAGAAACTAGAGATTCTTGAAACTAGACTAGAAGCAAGAAAGGAATTGACAAGAGTGAAGAAGGCTTCACTCTTGCTTCTATATATACTATCTATCTAGAATCTATGTGGCAACATTCTATAGGACGTCCAAAAATATATTGATTTTGTATGACACTTATCTTAACTTGCATGACACATAGTTAACTTATTCTGCAAGCTACCAACACATGTGGCATGTGGTTAGTTTGTTGATCAAGTTTCTAACCTATCAATCAACTACAAACACATGTAAAGTCAAAACAACATCTAAAAAAATTTTAGAAAACTTTTTTAGAAGGTATTATGAAATTAATCTATTTTTACTTATTTCTATCTATTCATATTACGAAGATAGCAATTACAGTAGACGTATATCTATAACACTATATATCAATATTCTATAGGACTTCCAACTTGTATCCAACTTCTAAGACAAATATCTAACTTATAAGATAAGTTTTACATGTATGCCAAATAATGAACTTCTACTATAATTGATTAACTTATTAACCAAATCAACTACAAATATGTTTAAAGTTAAATCTACATCTATAAAGTTTCTAAAATATTCTTCCAAAATATATTATTTAGTTCTTTCTATTTATTTCTATGTAATTTTTTTTAATTTAGATAAATATTTATGTCCGCAACACTTAAAGACTATAGAATGAGGAACTAAATAAATAAAACTTGGACATCTTCTAAGTATAATAGCACCTTCCAAAACAAGTTCAAATAATTCATTATATTTTTTGAAAAAAATTTCAAAGACCATATCTATTAAAATAAAAAAAAAAAAAAAAAAAATTAAGATCAGATCCATTGAAGAAAAAGAATAGAAAAAGAATTTAATTACATCTAGTACAAGCCCTATTTTAGCTTCAACACAATTCATAAGTCTTAATACTCCAACAATATCTTATATAAGCTTAAAAAAATTTAAACAAATTTGATGAATGAAATTAAGAAGGCATTAAGATGAAAGCTTGAAACATTTGAAAAATATTGGTGAAAAATGAACTAAATAATTTTTTAAGGAAGTTAAGATGAAACACATAAGATTTAAAAATATTAAAATCAACAATAGCCAAGGATTCAAAATTCATAGGCAAAGCCAAATAAAAAATGTTTACTAAGTCTTTTATTCTAATCTTTTCTTTGTCATTTTTAGAAGATAAAATTAATGTCATGTCCAACATCTTTATTATCCAATTTAAGATATTTCAATAAATAAACTCAAATCTCTTTCAACTAATCACTAAAAGAATTTAATCTAGTTATAAATGGCATTGCATTAGAAATAAACACCATACGTAGATAGCATAGTAGTAGAATTATTCAAACACTATTAAAAAGAAATTATAAATGACTATACAAGAATGGAAAATATAGCAATATCTTATAGATAATTCTTTTAAATCCTAATTAAAAGGATTATTGTTTTTATTTCTAAAAAAAAAGTATTAAAATTTCTTCAACAACTAAAAATCTATAATTATATTAAATACTTGTTAAAAGATTTTTTTTAAAAAAATATATAAAAATATTCTAATTTTTTTTTATGAAAGTTATAAAATTAAATCATATAATCTTTCTTCTCTTGAGATATATTTTAGAAAAAAATTTGATGATCCAAAAAACAATCTATTTAATCAAGAAATTAAACTAACTTCTTTTATTTCTAAAAGTTGATTTTTCAAATACTTTTGATAGGGTTTCTTAGACCTTTTTATTTTTAATAATAGAAAAACTTAGGTCTTATCAAAAATTTATATAATTATTTAAATTATTATTTAAATAAATAATAATAATAGTTTATAGAAATTAGAACTTTAATAATTTATTTTCACTTTTTCAAAAGGATAAGACAAGAATGCTCCCTTATTTCTTATTTCTTCTTAATCCTAAATAAAAACTTTAAAGTAATAATTTTAAAAAAATTAGAAGAAACCTTCTTAGAAATAAGATATTTTTTTTGTAACAAAATGAGTAATTTTTTTAATTGACTTACACATCACTTCAGAATGAACAACAAAACTACATAAAAATAAAAATATAATATAAAGAATCAAAGATGTTTTTTGCTATAAAACCAAATACTTCCAAATATTGTTTAGCGAGGTTAGTCTAAGATTTGACCATGCACACAATAAAGTTGGCATAAGTGTTGACTTTGAACACAATAAGATTCCTTGATATTCATTCTTGACTCTAACTCACAATCTCTTTAGCTCAATGATTGAATTAGACTATTTAGCTCAAATAAAGATTTCTTGTTTGACAATGTCTTCCAACTAAGCAATTCCAACTTGAATATCATCTCCAAGAACATATTTAATATGTGTAGACTATCAAAAATTTATAAATTTATAATTAAGAATTAATCAATATTCTTTAAATTAGGCAAAAATCTCTCATCTATCCAAAAGACAAGACCTCATGTCTTGAAAGAATTAAGATTGAATGGCAAGAGGATATGCAAAAGTAGTAAGAATAGTCATTGAGGCAATAGATGCTTATTAAGTTAATAAAAATACTTGTCTTTTTTTGACATGGTTGCAAGAAGAAACTTTGATTCTATATATATTATTAACAATGAATAATTAATATCATGATATACACCACCAAACTAGGGAAACAATTCTTATAAAAAATACCACAAACTTTAAGACCTTGATACATTCAAATAGAGAAAAAAATTAAAAATAAATAAATAAATAAATAGAAGAATTTTTGATTTAAACAAAGAGCTTGAAAAGGAATAATATTTATTTAGCTCTTTTATTATACAAGAATAGGTTTAAATGAATGCAAAGCACAAAGATACAAAAAAATCTCACTATATGTAATAAATAGCCATATTAATTAGTATATTTATATAGAGAAGTAGAACTATGTAGAAATAAATAGAAATAGGTTAAAATATTCATATCTTGTTGAAAAGCTTTTCAAAAGCTTTATAGACTTTATATATGTTTATAAGTGATTGATAGGTTGACAATTTGGCCAATAAATTGGTTGCATGTTAAAAATTTAGTTACAAATTAGTCAAGTGGCACACATATCAAAAACTTATCTTACAAATTAAACACATATCTTGCAAGTTGAACATATGTCATATGGCTTATATGACATTGTTACATAGTTCTTTAGTAGATAATACATGTAGAAGCAAGAATAGGGCCTTCGTCACTCTTATCAATGTTTTTTATGTACTCTATCTTAGTTTAAAACTTCATAGTTTTTATGTAATTGGTAATAGTTATTCTAATTGAAATTCTATATCTATCTTTTAATTGTCTACTTTCTCTCTTTTGGTGATATAAGAATATATTGTCATTTAAAAAAAAAAAATCATGTTCTTTACACTACTATGTCAACTTTGTAACTTAGGCCTCTCCAAAATGGTGTTTCACTAATTTTAGGACTGCCTTCAAGCCAAAAAAAACCTATGACTATATTACATCAATCATGTAAAAATTGATTTCGAGTCTCCAAAGATCTTGCCTATAGCTAATCTTCTCATAGAAGTAAGCAATTTTTGTTGGACATTCCTTCATATTTATAAGATTCAAAACTATTTGGTCTTCACTATATGAAACTTGTCTTATCGTAATATGGATGCAACAAAATAACTTAATCTTTAACAAAGAAGTATGGTGTAATTAGAAAGTATATTTTGAAATTTAGTCAAGTATTTTAAATTATGGTCAAACACCATGAAAAATCACACATAACAAACTAAAAGAACAAGTCAATAATAACAGAATTGTATTCTATAGCTAGGATAGAATAAGAATGGTCAAAAAAATAATAGTCACTTCACACAAAAAATCCATAGTATAGAATCCATTATTTCTCCAATGCAACATTACTATGTGTAATAGTCCTATAGTCTAACTTGTTGTAACATATAATTAATTCTTCTAATTAACATTTCATTCCTTGTCTAATCATTTGAATTTTAGGTCCTTGAATGTCTATATTTCATCCCTCTAATGAATGGATTGAATAAACTCTAATTATGTCAAAATAAAATGATTCCAACTACAAATACATTGGATGTAACCAACCAATGTCAAAAAAAATTAAAAAATAATCCCAATTACAATTAAAAGCACTAACAACCTATTGTTGTTTATCTATAGTGGTTTAAGTCTTGCAAAAACATCAAGTCCACCACTAGAGAAGTTTCTATTGAGATCAAGGCCACCACTAGAGAAGCCTATTCCATTAAGGGGGTTCAAACTTGGCAATTTTGCAAAACCAAATAAGTGGAATTCAAAACTTGATATTTTGAGGATTACTTAAAATATCAAATCCAAACTATCATTGTTCAAACTTTTTCCTAAAACAGAGGCATGGCATTAGGTGGTGTGGTATGGAGTCGAAGAGAGAAGAGGGCTGGGAGGAGCAACTCTACCTTCTTTTGATATTTCCAAATCACCCACCTTGCAATCTGGGTGGTTTGGTGAAGTATTAAGTGATATTTCAAAATATCACATTATACTTTGAGATTTCATCATGACTGAACTATCACCCGTGTTTGTACCCCCTATTGGATGAGATCATCCTACCAAACATATGAAACTTAGCTAACTCTTGAGGAGGCAGCTGCCCATTTGCTGGACTTGTGTCAAAAGGCATCATACAGAATGGGTCAGGTCCTCCGAAATGTGCACTCATGTTACCCTACTGACTCATGACACCACAAAGTCTCTTCAAATATAAGCGGTATTTCTGTTCAACCAGGTGAAACGAAGTATCTATGAGTAGATTGAGCACTTGTTACAAAGCACAACGACAATTCGCTTTGCTGCACAGCAATGCCAACACTCTTTCTCAATCTTTTTAATGTATACCACAGTCTCTTTAGAAAACTAGTCTTGGTCAGAATCTGAAACGTGGTGCGCAAAGACACCGTCGGAGGTAAAACGCCAAGCCCTGGACACAGACAAGCCTCGAAGAAACTAAGAGGTACTGCTATTTGAGGTCAAAATTTATAAAATAAATCATCAGCGATGCTTTACAAAAAGGGAAGCATCAACGCCACATTTAATTTTACTCATACTGTACAGTTGACAAAGTTAACATTTGTGGCCGTTTGAGAAGCCGCGTGTCTTGTACCTAAAGAAGTGAGCAGACCGATCTGATATTCATGGTTTATTTCAGCGGAAGATTTTTCCCAAAGCTTCTAACCTCTCAAGCAAGGCTGTAATTAGATCAAAACCCACTCCAAGCCTTTCATACACAGAAGCGACAAGCTACAAGGGAATGCCACCAACCATCACAGTGCTAACGAGGCCATATTCGCTCGTTCAGCAACAAAGAACCTGTTGAAGCTCACCTTTACCGGCAAGCTAAATCATCTGGTTCCAGTATTAATCGTCATGAACATAAATTTTGTCCATAATAATTATGATGGAGAAGATGAAGGCTACATCCACTCCAGGATGTATAATTACATTGAAAATACTCTTTGTGATAAGGATGTTTTTCAAAGATGCTTCTCGAGTCACCTGCGGAAGAAACAATTACAGAGATGCACACAGTACATAAGGCATTGTCTGTAAGACATAGTCACTGAATTCAGCACTTGTCAACCTGGCTCTAAAAACGAAATCACTTTTCCCTGGTGACAATAATAGGTAGGTAACCTCGGGATATGCTTTAAAATATCATGAGTTCATATTAGTAGCTCAAAAGTGTGAATCAATGCATTGTCTTCGACAAATGAACATGTCAACTTGGAACGAAAGTTAGCAATTTCATGATTCTTCACTTCGTCCTGTTGGCTGATTGTGAAATCAAGAGACGAGCCCAAATCTGTAAATAGCTATGTCAGCATGGTCTGCAACAAACGCAATTCCAAGACCACGTACCTCTGTTACAAGCTCTTCGCCGAAGTATATGAGGCATTTCTTGGCAAGGAAACTCCCCTCAATGGTGTAATCCGGCTTCTTCTGAGCTGTGTTTGAAGCAAGGAAGATGTTAACTTTGGGCTTGCAAGTAAACGCAGATAATGACTTCAATGTAAACAGAGCTTCCGATTCACCAGGTGAGTACGCTTTCCAAACATTCTTTATTGTCCATGGCTGAGAGACGCATTATGTCAGACAAGAAAAGAAAAATTAGTCGAAGATACTCGCAGAAATGGCTGAAATCGAGATTACTAGGTTCCAGCTGGAAATCAAATATGTTAGAAGTATTTCTTATCAGTTCAACATAGACCTAATTCTCGTGCTGCTACACGAATTGAATTCCAGGACTGCGTCCTACTCCCTGTACATAAACATATAATGTTTAGTGTTTCAACTCTACAAATTTCAGAATTTACCTGCGTATATTCAACAATGCTGAATTCATCATGATGCTCACATTGTCACATGAACCTACGTTCTCTGTGATTCTATGGTGCCTCACTAAATGGCTGAGTACGAACATTACACTAATTCTCACATCTGAGAACTGGAATTCACAACTGAACCGGTCTTTCCGTTCTCTGCACTTGAAATGCGGTGGACATACCTTTTCTTCCATATACACAACAACTTTTCCATTTTCGTCCACCAGCTCCCGCTTGGACTTGTACCAGTCCACCTTTTTTCCCCGCACACGAAACACGACTTCCCCATTTGCTTCTGTGATAATCCATGATTTGGAGAGAATCTCGTTCTCAAGCCTGTACTGTGCGGAGTTCGGAAAGCAATATCGCTGCCCAACCACAGCTGCGAAACTTTGAGTAGGGGCGTGAAGTTCTTCAAGCTCTAGCCACGAAAACTCTGATTGAAAATCCATTGCTGCTTGCAACTTTTTAAATTCACTGATATAGATTGATTGATTGATATATAAAAATAAAGGTGAGTCCTGACAACTCAATAGCATAAATCAAGCCTACACAATAATCAACTAGTAGAAATGATGCCTGTAACAACCCGATTCTATTCCATAAACCTGGATTTGAATAATCTCTGCAATAGAATTTCAAGACGCAGATCTAAATAAACTATGCAATTCTGATGATAAATTCCCTTTTCTAAGTTGACCCCGAAATCCCACACGCCAAGGACGATGTGCGGATTCCGAGTGACGTCCTCGAGAAGCTCATCGGCAACCTAACTCAATGATTCCCAGGTTCTGGCAAACTCAATCTTTTAGTATTAAAGAAAGAGACAGGACCACCAACACAACTAGGACCCAGCAGCATGAACATCGAGGGGCGGATGCTAAGAATTTATCATCCAAATAACGGAGTTCTTAAACACACATCTAGACCATCACAAAAACAAAGCTTCCCTTACATCAACCTCTCTGGAAATCCGAACGCGCCGTGGAAACACTGGAGCTTGAAGAGGAGCCAAGGCTGGATCGCGGCAAACAAATCCTATCTGACGCCATCCAAGACAGACAAAAACAAAAGTTGGTTATAACGCTCAACAGTGTGTATTACAATAATAGCCTGGGAGCACGAATCCGGATGGTGCACGGACGGAAGTGACGGAGGTTGAGCTGGACCGTGGTTCCTTAGTCATAAAGTCATCGGCACCACGTGCAAGACATACCGCTTTCTAATAAAGCACCGAGCATTACTGCCTCTCATGTGAAAATTTAACATGCAAATTATGTTCTGGCGAATGGCGATGCACGAGGGACTCACGGCGGCCAAATTTAGTTGATCGTACTTAATGCTAAACCAGGGCGGTGGCCTCCGCTAAACTAAGGCAATAGAATCGAGAGGCCGTGGCCATCGCACCACGGATGTCCAGGATCTACCAATCACTTCAGCCAGACCCACTGAGCAGATTCCACGTATCGCTGATTCCTGCTGCATTCTTTCCAGCCCCGAAAAATGTCGAAGTCAACTTCATTGGAGGTCACGACCGAGATGAAAACCACCACTTGATAATAAAATGTGTGCAAGCAAGCAGGAAGAGGTCTTGTCCAGGCGTCCGAAACCCAAATTAGGGTTTAGCGCTTGACGTGCGCAGGACTTTCATATTTTTTTTTTTTTTTTTTTTTTTGCAGCAGTCATTTGATGAACAACTCTTTCGGCAACCGTCTGCTCTCCAAGTTTTTCGAAATCTTGCTTGAGAAAACTAGGTTTTGAAGTAATTTAACTTTTTTGCATTCAGAAAGTGTGTTGACCAAGGATGATAATGTTAGAATTGACGCATGTATGTGTGTGTTAAAAATACACTTATTTGTGGAAATGGGATCTCTCAGGGATTCCTCCATGGGCCATATCTAGGGGTCCATGTTTAGTGGGGGTCTATTGAAGGCTTCTGAAATGATATTGTTTGCTACTGCCTAAAACCCCAATTGCATGCAACATGGAAATATTCACAAACAATTATATTCACAAACATTCCCAAGCATCAAAATACTGAAGATGTGTGTTGGATAGCATGTGCTTGTTTATGGGTAAGAGCCAGAAACCCATGCCTTTCCTTTTCAATGATTGAGCCTTTTGAGGGAGCTTTCACAAAAAGAAGCTGCTTTTACTTTCACTTTTCTTGGATAATGCACACAAACCATGCAGTTTTCTGTTCCATCCTTTTGTTTCTTCTCATGTTTTTCATGTGGAGTAATTAAATGCTTCCATGCACAGAAATGTTTCCTTTTCCATCCTCTTGGCTTTAAATCTACTCACTCAAATCTGGGCTCATTCTTGTTAACCACACATTGGCAAGAGAAAGCCACAAGTATCAAAATATTCAGAAGTGAATTGTAAACACTACTTTGAATTGAAGATTTTACAGTTGATAGAGGCAGAGAGGAAAAAATTTGACAGTGTAAACACAGGGAGGGGAAATTAGTTTGTTACCACCAGAGATTTTTTTTAAAAATTTACATATTAAGATTGCTCAAGGAAACAAGTAGTGGCTCTCATTCACTACATGCATCCCTCTTGGTTTTCATCTAAAAACTTAACATTGTGTGGAGTTTGAAAGAAAGCAAAAGTTTAACTGAAACTCAAGTAGAGTTCACAAGGAGTTCATAAGGCTCATTTTTTTTCTGCAATTTTGTAATTGAATGCATTCAAGTAGAGTTCACAAGAAGTTTACAAGGCTCTCTTCTTTTTTTCTTTTTTTTTTTTCTTGCAGTTCTACAACTAAATGTGATTGAAAATACAATTGAAGCTGCATTTTTTTTTTGTGATTGAACACAATTGAAGGTGAAGTTCAATAATTCATAGAAAAGTGAGCAATTGAACAACAACAACAACAACAACAACAAGGCAAAACGCAAGCTGTGAAGGGTGATGGAATTTTGCCAAATACACATCTGACCCTGATCTCTGACTGTGCCAATGAGAAAACAAATGGCAATAAAGCATGGCCCAACACATAGGCTATTTAGTGTTGCGTTATTTCTAGCTCAATGGTGTTGGATATTGGTTGAGTGTGCGGGGTGATTACTTATTTTCATTGTTACATTTGAGTACAAGGTAAGAAAAATATGATGGTAAGTAATATTTGGAGTGAGGTGGATGTTCAACATGAATATGAAGGTTGTTTTTTGCAATTTTTAATTGTGCATTCTCTTGTGTGACAAGGCTAGAAACATTGTCTTGAGTCATATAAAATTTCATTTTGGAACCATTCTAGTTCAAATCAAACTTCAATGCAAACATGGTAGATTGGATTGACTGTCACCAATTCATTTCATCACATTTTAAATCACGCTTCAAATAAGCTAAAACTTTATCTACATTGTTGTCAATAATATTATAATGAATGACATTATATTAAGCACATTGATTATCATCAATGATATTATATTATTGTAGCAATTAACGACATAGGGAGTTCATAAGGCTCATTTTTTTTCTTGCAACTAAATGTGATTGAAGACAAATGTGGAATTGAATGTGAGGTGTAAGTTGAGAGAAAAGAGGGATGATATGCATGTTGTATAATAAAAATATATATATTCTAATTTATTCTAATAAGTTTATTTTTCAAGCTCAAGCGTGCTACATGTTGTGGATTTAATTGATTTACAATAAAGGTGAAGAATGAATATTTGTTGCTACATCATCTCCACTATTGCAGATTTTGCAACTTGTGTTGTTGTAACCTCATTGTTGAATCATATTGACTTGGTTCTAAGTCAACAATACATATTCATTCAACAATGGAGTTATCAATGACATTACATTATGATAGCAATCAATGACACAAAGAATTCATAGGGCTTAATTTTTTTTTCTATAACTATATATGATTGAAGGTAAATGCACAATTGAATGCGAGTCACAAGTTGTGAGAGAGGAGTGTCACGGATATATGTAGATATACTAGTAAATACCTATATGATTAAATAGAAGTAAATAAAAGTACATAAAAGTAGGATAATTTCACAATATCTTTTAGAGAAGCTTCATAGACATTGCTTTGACTTTATATATATTTGTAGTTGATTGATAGGTAAATCCATAGTTAAAAGCTTTGTTATATATATTTTTTATTTATATTTATATTGTATTATATTTATATTTAAAATATGTTATTTGGCTCAAAAAATGATTCATTTAAATCACACTTTCCATGTCAACAATATGAGTTCATCTAATCTATATATTAAGATTGCTCAAGGAGACAAGTAATAGTTTTTATTTACTACATACACTCTTCTTAGTTTTCATTAAAAAACTTAATGTTTCTAAAGTTTGAAAAGAAGTTTAATTGAATATGAACAAGTTCAAGAATATCTTGCATTGCATCTGATCGAGGACTATGGTAATACTTTCTTTATCCTTTTATCACTCATCAAAATAATCGAGCTCATATGTAATATCTCATGGTTCTATGAATATGAAATTTTTGTAATACTTGCAATGTGATGTTAAGTAAGAACCATTTCTAAGAGAAATTAAAAATAGATTTATTAGTGAGTATTGGAAGTTGTGATGAAATTGCTTAATCATCTTTATTTATATACCGCTTCAAACTTTTGTTATCAGCAATTATATTTGTATTTTTATTCTTTGACTTGGTGGCTTAAACCTCAATATCTATGTATCATATGTCAAGTATAGTGTATGTGTAATCTGGTCACCGTCTGCACCTATACTTATGAGCTCAAGGATATAAGTTGGTAGTAAGATTATTTTCTTAGGTCTTCATATTAGAGTACTCATTGGTATGATACACATATATTTTGCAAACTTGTCCTTTGTTGTAATTAGAATGGCCACCAAAAATTGGTGAGGAGAAATATACGTATTAAATCCATTACTACATGAGATCTATGCTACTGTTTGATTTGCTTTATTACATCATGTCTTATAGGGCACAAGCTCGGATGGTCCTTTCTTTTACTTCTAATTGGGCTATATTGATGTATTAAAAGTTTGATATGTTTGCGATCAAGTTTCATCCTATTACAAAATAGGAGAGTGAACAAAAGTATGTTTTTATTAAAGATGTGATTTAGTGCATGTCCTTAGAACCCAGATCTATTGAATGCCAATCCAATTGAAACAAAGTGTAGGATAGAGTACAATAGGGCAAAGAAGAACAATGCTTTGTTTTTGGAAGAGTACATCAAGATGGAACATCTTTGGTTGGTAAAGCACCTATACCCTTGCCTTCTCTTCTCCATGCCTTGCCATGCTTCTCCACTTCTTCTTTCTATCACACAATATCCAATTCTCTCACTCTTTAGCATATATATATATATATATATATATACATACATACATACATATTTGTTTTTATGTACAAGTGTGTTTTCTCACATTATCTCATTCACTTATATACATATGTATGTATGTGTATGAATATATACATATTTTTCTGTCTTTGTGTATGTTTTCTCACATTATTCCATTCATTTCCACACACACACACACTTATATACATATTTAATTATATTTTCTTTTCTCGGGTAGATAATATATGCTTCACCTCTCACAAGATTAAGATCTATAGAGGCTTTAGTTGATCAGATTTGCTCAAGTTTATACAATTCTTTGGAGAGAAGCCCACAGTCCCAGCAGAGTGGAACTCAGAGTGCAATAAAGATTGGTATTGGATATTAGGGCTTTGTTTTAAATTTCAAATTCCTGAGATTCCATGACAATGGCATGGGTTCAGCAAGTAAATAAATAAAACTAAACAAATACAAGTAAAAAACAGAAGACACTCTCAGTGATGTGACACAAACCAATTTTCATGTTAGAGAATAGTTTGAAAGCACACAAAGATTGATGGATCTTGAAATTGGACAGCTTTCCATAATTGCCATTCTCTCTGCACTAGTGAACAAAAATAAATAAAAATAAAAGTCATATGAAAATCATAATAATAATTTCAGTTTTTTTGTAAATGATGTCAACTACAAGAAAGTTTTTCAACCAGTCACTTCAGATGGGTTGGTTTGAATGTCCTTGGATGTACACGTGGGTACCCCTTCCAAGGACAGTTGGTAACAAAAAGCCCAACAAACTCACAGTCTGAGATTGACTTATATGAGTGGGTCCTCTGATGATGCATCATTTTTCATTCCAATTGTTATTGGAATTTACAGTCTCTTTCAGATTCTTCAATAAGTCCCCCCCTCCCCCCCTATGACTCCTTTGAAACTGCCTGAAAGACCAAAATTTTCAATTCATTGGGTCTAGGATCCACCTGCCACATTCATATTTTGTTACATGTTACTGATGCATTCTCATTCCATGCATGATAATGTTGAAAAATGAAGAAGGTTGTAATATCTTGGCTAGAATTTGTCCTACCCTGGATGAAAAACACATAGAGTGATTTATTTAATTAATACATTATGCTCTTGGTTTTTCTATGCTATTGAAGTTTAATATACTAGACATATAAGTATGTTTAGAATTTTACACTTATGTTATATAAGTGGGTTATTTCCATTAATACATTTACCTTCAACCCAGAAAAAACATTGTTTGTTTGAAGTGCATTGGCAAATATCTTGTATTGTGTTGCTCTTGAAGATGTTGTTATATATATGTAATTGTTTAGATTTTTAATAACCTATTTATACTGATCAGAGTTGAATGACTGAAATCAAAATCTATGGGTAGGTACCTAACACTTTAAGCTGGTAAAAGTTTAAATTATTATTGGTGAATATAAAAAATTCTGAAAATAAAATTTTGAATATCATGTCATTAAATGTTCAAGTTAAAAAAAAATGGAGAAAGATTTAGGGGTCATGCAAAAGGTCAAAATTGGGCAGCTTTGTGTAGCACATGGTCCATGCTTGACAATGTTTCTTCTACCACAAGCTAAAAATGACAATAACTAAATTCTTTATTTTATATATTTATGCTGAGTAAATTCATAAATAGTTCGACTATAAAAGTATCCACCCGTATATATATATATATATATATATATATAATGGTGTTTCATAATTTTGTTCATAGTTGATAAGCTATTTCAAAGATTGGTTTTAACACTTGTTTTTAAAATTTTAAAACTTTCTTTTTTACTTTGCAATATCTCTTTGAATAAAATGTAAAAACCTAAAATGGATTAATTTTATTGTTGATTATTTATACATTGACTTGTAGTTTTTTATTTTTTGATTTTTTTATGATCTAGTATGAACTGATGAAAAACATCATGTGCAATTGCTAAATTTGATATACAAACCTACATGTAAAAGTTGAATTAAGTTTTTTCTTTTATGTTTTTTTTTTTCTTTATGTAATATAACAAAACCTTAGTAATAATAAATTTCAAAATTGACGTTTTGATTTCTTGAAACCATTGATAAATGTATGCCTGTGTAACAAAAATGAAAATTAAGCTCATTTGCCTAGTTATTGTTTTCTAATCAACCACAAAAAAGCGAATGTCTTTCTTCAATAAATAAATGAATAAATATATGTATATATTACAAAATTTCTTCCTAAGAATTCTTTCATATAAGTGTATTATTTCTTCCTAAGAAATAACGGCATGGCCGTGGGGACGCTGCTGGCAGTGGGGGGGGATGATTTTCGAGTATAATTTCGTGCGGAATCTTGTCACAGCAGCCTCTGACGTTTCCCGAAACGAAGTAGCAGGAATGATTCCTTTCGATGAAGGGCAACGTTCGTTTGTTTGTCTTCGCTCTGTTTGTTGGCCTTTGTTAGGTTCGTCACAGGAAGAGGGCACTGCGCATATCAACCACACAGTCAGTCTGCAACAGATCTTCTCTCAACTTCCCTGGTATTTTGGGCCACGGGGGGTGATCTGTCCCGGGAGTTCATTTACATTTTTGAATTGCTCACGTAAGTGATTGGAAATCTCAGCCCTTTAAGTTGGCTATTTATGTGTGCCGCTACACTGTATGAAGCGGGAAAGCGGGATCTCTTGTGGTAACCTGGCCGGACTTCGAAGGGAGGGAGGGACTTGGAGGTTTCGGAGTCTTGGAGAGAGAGGCTATCCAGAGACTGTAGGGACTGGGAAGGTGGTTTTATTTTCACTTGGTGTGGAACAGCGCAGTCGTTTGTCCTTTAACCTTCTTCGCGCCTGCGACGAGCGCTCGTGAACGGTGCCGGTTTTGATGTGCTGCTGCCTTTCATTGTGTCGCTGCATGTAGATTGTAGATCTTGTGTCACTCAGGAATTGCGCATATTTGTGTTGGTTTGAACTGCCGGTCTCGCGCGGGGAGGTGGAGAGGAGACTTTTTCTGATTTCTCAGAGTGTAGATGATGAGTTGGTTTGGTGATTGGTGAATGCTGGTGGATCTGTCGTTCGTGCGAGTTGGCGGGCGTTTCGGGTCCGAATGGCTTGGTGAGAGCCAGTGGATGCGCGTCTGGTGTGCACAAACAGATCTTTTGTCGATCGGCCGACGGGGTGATGCTGTGACCGCGTTTTTTGTGGAATTTTGGAGTTCTCGCGCGGCTCTGACGAACTTCACGTCGCGCGACTTGTTTTGGCACAACCGTATTGCGAACTAGGTTGGTTATTTCATCGCTGTTTCTTATGTTAATGCTGTGCCCGGTTCGTATATGAACAATTTCTGATATGCTGCACTGCTTACCATCGTTTTACATTTGGATGATTTATTGTCTTGTCCCTGGCCAACTAAGAGATAGATTCCTGAGACCACTTGTCGTGAATTCTTCATGGATTTTACTTTTTCTTTCAGTTGTTTCCATGTTTTTGGATTACGAACCGTTTAATGCATCACTAGGAGGTTATTACAAATTCATAGGTGGAAGTTTATTAGACTTCTAGCTTCCCCCACGGAAAGGTTCGACCATTGTCAGAGCATAACTTCCTTGTGCGTGCTGCATTAGAGGCTTTCATGAAGCCGCAAGTTCGTTTCTCGTTCTACCGTGCGGTTCTCATGATCTATTGAGGTTTTATTTTATTTCATTTTCTGTGAAGCACTACGACGTTGCAGCTACTCACTGCTGCAGCTTCGCAGTTATCCCTTAACATCCATACCATAGTCCATTTTTCCTCCGTCTCCCCGTCTCTGGATCAGATGCATTCAGGAAGAGCGTGTGTCTTGCGGTTGCGGCATATACGGCCCTGTACTATTGCCTCTTGAAATAACATCAAGCGTCGTCTACTATACCTGTACGAACTGCTTGTGAAGACACTCTTACTTAGAAGTCCTTAGGTTTCCCTGGTTATTGAGGAAAAAACATTCTGACATTTTCTTCAAGTATTGGATGAAGATATCTTTTGATACAGCTCGTTTGAATATTCATCATCTCTGGCATGTTATCTGTCCGCAGTCCGACGATGTTTAGCCGGTACGATAAGCTATATAAAGCAAAAGCAAGTGTGCTTCCGATCACGTCACTTAGGTAGTTGTAATGGTAAGTGCAGATTATTTTTCAACAATAACCACATATCACTGCTCCAAATTCTCTTGCGCCGTATGGATCGTGATCTGACTGAGGACTAGGCTTGCGAGTGTCTTCGCATTATTTTCCACGTATCTCTTTCTCTGGTCTCGTACACGTCAAGACACTCGTTTTGCTGAAGAGCATATATCTCATTTTCCTTTCGTGTGGAGCAGTTTAAAGACATTGACGGTTTTGTAGCACTGCCCTTTCAACTCCAGGTGTCTTGTGACTTCATTGTCATTCAGGTGCACTGAGAGAGCTCTCTTTGTTACTCCGACCGAAGACTTATATGCGAAGTAAACGAATAGTTTTGATGGTGGATGATGCTCTTTATTCGGAATTTATTGTATTTTACGAAGTTACTTTGTCGACATATAATTCATTTGATTCCAATTTTAATCGCACACAAGTCGCAATCTTAAACTTATTATGAATCCGGGGAAGCATGTGAACCTTTCTGATGAGTCAGAAGTTGTTGTGTACTTGTTATTGTGTTCCTTCGCTCCAACATCATATCTCTGCTGTGCTTCTTCTGAATGTCTTGAGCTTCTCCTGATTCTGGTTGTGCACCGATGCTCTAAGGACCTTCACTGTTGCGATTTAGGGTGGGATTTTAGCTCAATTACCTGCACTTGAGCTTACGTGGGAAAAAATTCTAAATACAAACTGATAATATGGTTAACGAGGTTCAATAAAGTTCATGTCATCTAAGAGTTTTACCAAGTATTATGATTTTTATGTATCTATATACTTGTGTGTGTGTGTGTGTGTGTGGCGCAGTGTCTAAAGCGTTTCGGAAGACTTACTTCAGAGCTTTTTGGAGTGTGACGATCTGTAGAGAAAGTCTGTTTGAAAGGTAAGCGAGCTCCTGAAGTTCTGAGCATGCATTATAAAACCAGACTCTGAACATGGCTCCTTCGATACAAGATAATTTTCCGTCAACACCTGGCAAGGTTAGCACTCTTATAACTGTAACATGAACTGAGTATCGTACCTAGATGTTGCAAGGAGAGGGGGATAAATCAAAGGCCTAAAATGACGCTCTGATTTGAGATGCGGTTGTTGCTCGGAAGAGAATTGAAGTAAGTCCGTACATAGTAGTTCACACAAGTCCTAGACTTATCAATGTCTCAACCCTTTAGTCTTGTGTTGATCATCATAATACCACGACATGTGTTACCATATAGCGCGTTTGTCAGATTTTTTTCATTTAGAATAGCATGACAGCTGATGCTTGATATGTGTGTCCTCCTGATATCTACATACTTGCTTCAAGTGAAATATTCAACTTGTTGATCTACCGATGCCACCTGCTGCCACTTGTTTAAGTGTAGGACGGTGTGGAATAATTATCAGGTGATCTCGGGTGATTTGTAGCCCCGAGTTTTAGCTTAATTCTATTTCATGGTCAGCAATCAAGATCCTTCTCAATCGTGTGCTTGCATATGAGTCAGAGTCTCGGGAACAATTTCAGATCGAAATTTTGACTCGATGGTTTTTTCGGATGGATGGCTTGGCCAATCTTAACCTGGTCGGTATTATCATATTATCATATGATGGTAACAATCTAGGAAGTTACATTTCTTGAAAGGTCTTGAGTATCCTCGAAATGACACTTGATATGGAACACTTTTGCTATTGTGCTCATTAGTCGGATACGATTTATTGAAAGGCTACTAAGTTGGCGGTGGTGAATCTTGCAGGTTAAAATGGAGCGCAGTAACTACTTCGGGAGGGTAACAAATCGCTGGCACACATCCGCATCAGCCAAATTATTTCTTTTTTCTGTGTTCCTCCTCGCCGTCACGATCTTTATCTGCTTCCGAATTACTGCAAATGGTATGGTAGAAGGGTATATGAGTACAGCATACACTAGCACCAACGGTGGCACGATCCGCTCAGCTTTTAAGAGCGACAAGGTTTGGGACCAAAAATTATTACAGTCTTGTACTCCAGAGCGAGATGATGGACTGGTAGTCCTTGTGACTGGAGCAGCAGGTTTTGTTGGCAGCCATGTGTCGCTTGCTTTGAAGAAACGAGGCGATGGTCTTGTAGGGATTGATAACTTCAATGATTACTACGAAGTTTCTCTAAAAAGAGCTCGACAAAAGTTGTTGCTAAAGCAAGGTATCTTTGTGATTGAGGGGGATATCAATGATGCTGCTCTTTTAAAACATCTATTTGACAGGATACAATTTACACACGTTATGCACCTAGCAGCGCAGGCTGGTGTGCGATATGCCATGCAGAACCCAATGTCGTACATCCACAGCAACATCGCTGGTCTGGTTACGCTCTTCGAGGCTTCTAAGAATGCAAATCCCCAGCCAGCAGTTGTTTGGGCGTCATCGAGTTCTGTCTACGGTTTAAACTCGAAGGTACTGCAGCTACTTCCATCATATTTTTCGTACTTATGAGAATTTATCGTCAACAATGAATTTCAGTTGTACACAGTGCTGTTGCCCTGTAGGCTTCTGACAATCTACACTTGCATGTATTTTGAATGCGTATTTCAGGTTCCTTTTTCAGAGGCTGATCGGACAGATCAACCCGCCAGTCTATATGCTGCCACGAAGAAAGCAGGAGAAGAACTTGCTCACACTTACAACCATATTTATGGACTTTCCGTCACAGGACTTCGTTTCTTTACAGTGTATGGTCCTTGGGGTCGACCAGATATGGCCTACTTTTCTTTCACGCGGGATATTCTTAAAGGGAAGGTAATTAACATCTACAAGGGTCCGCATGATCGGGATTTGGCGCGGGATTTTACCTTTATTGATGACATTGTCAAGGGATGTGTTGCATCATTAGACACCTCGGGAAGAAGCACCGGAAGTGGAGGCAAAAAGAGAGGTCCTGCGCCGTTTCGTACATTTAACCTCGGTAATACATCCCCAGTCACAGTACCGATCCTGGTTGAATACCTTGAAAGACATCTCAAGGTAAATGCCAAGAAGGAATTCATCAAGATGCCTCGAAATGGCGATGTTCCCTTCACACATGCAAATGTGTCCCTCGCGCAGACCCAACTGGGATACAAACCTACAACCAACTTGGATACAGGTCTTAAGAAATTCGTGAACTGGTATGTTAAATACTACGGGGTTCCGTCGACTAAAACGAGAAGCCTGTAATCTGTTGCAGAAGAGTGTAAGCAAACGCATTGATGGAATATTTCCTGCTACCTACCCTTCTCCCATGACTTCTGTGAACTCGGACTGTCAGAGGATCACAAAGACAAAGATGAGAAAAATATGCGGAACTTCACATGTGAAATGACGAATGCTGCCAGCATAATCACCAAGGACCTATGCTTGTAATGACAATGTTCTGGTGAGGAGTGTGTTCAGTATCTGAATACTTCATTTATTTTATCAAAAATGCACAGGAAGTAAACTTTGACCTGGAGTGAAGTTAGAGCCCATAACCAATCATTGAGTTGACCTTGTATTGTAATTTTGACATCAAATGTACTCATTTTTTGGGTGCCGAGTGGCGCTCTTATAAACAATTCAGATGCCTATTTACCTCTTCTAATACCCGCGCTTTATCATTCTCTAATATAATAGGCAGTAGAAACGCCGAATCATACTATTAACTTTAAGCATGCTCTAAATATACTATGGAAATAATAAACCAACATTGTTATTACAAATCCAATCCTGCAGACAAAACCATCCTCTCTTTATGTGCACATTCTGTTAACCACTTGTCGAAAACTTGTGGATCTTTATTAATTGTTAAACTTTGTACACTGAACATGACACAAAAATGCCACATTCCCCGGTTCAATTTTAACTATCTACCAAATGAGTATCTAAATTTCGTAACATTTTAATCAGATTCGATGGTTTGAGAATATTCACACAATCACTATTTTCTCAATCGAAGAAGTTGCGACAAAGATCTCGCTCGAAATAGCTCGAGGCACTTCAGACAATTGTCGTTGTCACCAATGTAGCCAAAAATAAATCGGTCGTAAATTGCGTGGTTGACACACTTGATCTAACCTATGCAAAACCTCTGGAACTACATTAATATGTCCGCATTTTGATGAGCAGATGCAGAAACTGCAAGTCCCAGCCCCGCGCAAAAGCAGACAACTCTGCAACAGTCTTGACAGACTTGAACACAATGCCATAGGACCTTTCCAGCACTAATACCAGGGCTTAAGCAAAAGACTTCCGTCATGCCTTCTCATATAAAGACCTCAAATAAGGAAAAAAAGATGAAGGGCGGAACAAAACGCTCTAAAAACTCAATGAACTCAACGCTAAGCTTAAATTGCGGCGCTTCTTTGAGAAACATAACTAGTCTTCCATCGACTCCTCATCATCGTCATCGTCGTCCTCATCCTCCTCATCATCATCTTCATCATCATCCTCAGCTTCTCCGTTCACTTTGTCATCAGTGTAATCTGTGTTGAAGTCATAGTCATCAGATGCCTTTGAATCTGTTTTAGATGTCTTCCCGTTGCCAACATCTCCTTTGCTTTTCTTCTTGGCCTTCATAGGTTCGTCCTTGGCTTTCTTCGCCACTATTTTACCATTTGCCTGTTTGCCCTTGTGCACTGCCACTTCAGCTGTGTCCATCTCGTCGTCGTCGTCGTCCTCCTCCTCATCTTCAACTCCATACTCATCGTCGTCACTATCATCCTCCTCTATAGATTCATCATTTATCTGCACGGAAACATGAATCCCAGTTTGAGAACTTAGATAGAAAACCTTCAGTTAATAGAATCCGCATAAACCTAAACTGAGCAGAATAGTCACAAATCTCGAGTTCGCGAGGTTAAAAGAGTACCACAGAATCATCGACATCCATCCCAAGTGGAGTCCTTGATTGTATTTGAGCATGACGGCTTTCGACCAAGGATTTTAGACAAGCTAGAACTGCAGATGCCTCGTTCTTCAACGCTTTCTCAGCTTCAAACTCCTTTGACCAATTTTGATCGTCTGAATACCCTTTAGGTCGCACAGGTGGTACTGTGAAATATGGTATTTTCCCTGCGTGTATATATGTTATTAAAACGCACGTGTGAAAACATTTCGTTACAATGACTTACTCTAGAATGAAAAACCATTAAGTTAATAGCGCTTCTAGATCTAATTACTAACATTTTTAAAATCTTATCAAACGGCAACAGTCAGAACCAAGAAGCTACTTGCTACCAAGCCTATAGAATACGATTCTTCTAGTATGACTAGCACGCATAAATGTCTTCATACAGAGGAATCATATTCTAGTGCAGGAAGTGAGTGAAGACCTTTGACCAGTTCAAGGATTCCATAAATATCTAGCGGAATAAACTTGTACTGGAAAGAACTACATACTGCAACGCTGACCACTGACATACCTCCATTCCAATCATGAATCACAGAGCGGGCAGTAGCCGATTTATCTACTTCGCCACCCTTTTTCAATTTCCCACGTAAGGTTCCAACACTGGTCAGAAACCCGTCCACGTCACTGAATTTGGCAATTTTGTAAATGGTCATCAACTTCTCAGCAGGGCATATCCGCAATATTTCCTTCACTGTTTGAACAAATGAATCACGTGTTAAACCAGAAGAGGCATTAATACTTCGCAAAGCCCATCATAAAACTCGAAAATTCCACTAGATCGACAAGTCGTTTCAAATTTATCACTTCGAGGAACACGCTACGGGTTATAATAATAAAGCAACCGAATTTTATTCCAAAAATTCCTGAAGCACCCTAGAAATAACTCAACATCAGTTTTATCCACAATAACTTTCACATAACGACATGCAGTAAACATGACAAATAATCTTCATATCTGACTTACTTTACCTGGAGAGATAGAATCTGAAAGCTGCTGATCAACATTGATTAAGTTCAGCAGTGCGGCAGATGCTTCATTTTCAGCTGATGCTGAGATAACAATTCCAGGACAATCAAGTATCTTCAAACGCTTATCCAAAGGAACCTCCTGCATTACCTTGGTTACACCAGGATGCGCTCCAACAGAGACCGCTTGTGTTCTCTTCAAACTATTAATTAAGCTACTTTTCCCGACATTTGGATACCCAACGACGCCAATTACAAGTTCTTCTTTCTTCTGCACATTCAAAAAATTATGTATACCACGAGCACATCAACTTACAACACCGCTAATTTAACACGAAGAGCAATTTAAATCAAAGACACGAACACAATGATAACTAGTAGGTACGGAAAAGATGAATACATTCCCGAAGTTTCCAGGCAGACTGCGATACAATTTACTTACTTTCTGATTTTTGTAATAATTCTTGAGAAGTTTCAATAGAGTCTCTCCGCCTAAGCAGTTGCTAGTTTGCAAAAGGTCGCCATTCGTAGAATCCTTACGTAATTTCTTTCCTGAATTCTTTTGTTGCTCCTGCAAGTTACATTTGAATGCAACTGTAGGAAGCTCCCCCCTAAAGTACTTAAGCCATTGCTCCACCACTTCTCTAGGTACATGGTCTGGGAAGCACAGATCGGCATAAAACATGATCAGAATATGTCACGCGCCAGTTCATACACTTCTTTGAAGATACAAAAAAAGTTGCACATACAGCCTAGCACATATTCAGAACACTTGAAGCGTATGCACCTTTTTCACTCAAACATATGAAAGTCATTTTAGCATACTCGCGCATTCGAGGGCAGATATGTATGCGTGGAAAAGGGGGTGTATAACAGGACTAAAAGCTTGGGTTGCAGATGGAAATCTAAATCAATTGTCTTGGAGAGCAGGAATACAGTCGAAAAGTCTTACCAATTTTATTGAGGACGAGAACTATACGCTTAGAAGGCCCAGCTTCATGAACCATACGTTCAACCTCTACACAGCGAGTACCAATAGGATCCCTTGCGTCCAGTACTTGAATAATAACATCCGATGCTTCTATCACTTTCATGCACTCCTTGTAAAATGTCCTTCGCGCAGCCTCTGCAATTAAGTTCAATTTTAAAACACTGAAAATAGACATTGAACCCCAACCAAATATTTCAGGACTTGCAACAGCTTTTCAAGGTATTATTGTACGAAGAGGGGACATGTGGATAACAAGAGAATGACATACCTTTCGGGGAAAGATTCTTTACTTTCTTCGTTTTTTCAAGCTCAGCAGCCGTTTTCAAAGCTTCAGCAAGTTCAGCATCATCTTCCTCATCAAGCAGTCCTGCTTTCCGCTTCGCAGCCTGTCACGAAAACTTGTGTCAAAGTCTGCAGAATCCAAACACGGCAGATTCCCCCAACAACAACGGCCATAATCCTTGATAAGCATGCATATACTATGAAACTTGTTGAAATTGTGACTCATGTACCGACATTCGCATTTCAGAGGATTTAAGGAGTAAGTACGTTAGGAATTGCAGAAACTTAAGCTTACCCTTTCCTTTTTCGCAGCTTTCTTTTGCTCAAGCTCTTCGAGGATCCGAGAGCGCCGGGCTTCCAAAGCAGCTAACTCCTGCTCCTTGAAAGGCCAAGCGTTAGGAATCCCTGGATCCTTCTCGATTTTCGTCCTAGGTTTGATACCTAACTTTGCTTTCTTCTTTGCTTCCTTCGCCTGCTTTTTGTGGTGCTCCTTCACTTTTTTTATGATTTTGTGCTTCTTCCTTAAGGGAATACGCTTGGACTTACTCTCTGCAATAACACACATCCAAATTAACTATAACTCACCAAAATTGAAAACAGCCGCCACCTTCCACACAATACCAAATAAGAACGACCCCCATAAGCCGAAATTTCATTAGTCAAACTATCCCCTCTATCCACTGTCAGTCATCGCTATGAGATCTCTTGCAAAAATCCTCAAAAGACCACGATAACGGAAAAAACTCCTCACTTTTGCTACGCTTCACCATCTTGGCAGCTGTTTGCTTTCCCCCGCTTCAGAAGAAGCCCTCCACAGAAGTTCGTTCGAAGATAAGCTGCAAAACAAACCAGGGCCACGGCCAACAGGGCAAAAATCTGCAAATCCTCGGCGCTGAGGCGGACCCTCTAAAACCCTAAACCCTCGCTGAGAATGAGCAGCAAGTCGCCCAGCCCCTTCTCTCTGAAGCGCCCCCGATATGATCCATGCATTGGAATGCCGAGGCGCCATAGCCGTCGATCTTCCTGCCTCCATCCTGCGGTCGAGGTGTACGAGATGGCAGGGTTGGTGCCGGGTCCGGATATCATGCCGCTTGGCAAGGCTTTGGCGGGTATCAACAGGAGATCTTTGCTCGACTTCGGTGTTTAAAAACGTGTATCTTACAAGCCCAAAAATTGAAGTGATGAATAGACTTTGATGTTTTATATATGTATACCAGCAGAAATCTGTACCTTTGGGCACAAAAAAGTCATAAAATTTTAATTTCCAAAAAATTCTATAGAAACATCAAAATTATATAAAAAAAAAAAACAAAACAAAACAAAAAACAAAACCAAAAACAAAACAAAAAACAAAACAAAAAAAATAATAATAGAATAATTATGTCTCTTCAGAGTTATTGGAAACGATAATTCTGATTCACTTCATTAATTTAAATAGCTAGTTTAATAAAAAAATTAGAATAAAATATATTTATTGTGGTGTCTTTGGATTTATAATTTTAAGGATAAATAATATTGTTTGAATTTGGAGAATTGCATTGTGAAAAGTCAACATCAATTTGTATATTATAAAAGAACAACATATATTTTTGGCTAATAAGAACACTTCTTTGTCTCAACCAATTATCCAATGAGAAGGCTTCTTTATCTCTTTGTTTTATAACTAAGCTTTCTTATTATTTATATATTAAAATATAAATTTTTAATTTAATATTTTCGAATTTCAAAAATCCAATATATCATATTTTTCAAAAAATTATAATATATTAGATTTTATATAATCATAAAATATATATATTGAATATATTTATTTTTGTGAATAATTTTCAATTGAAAATGAGAATAAACATATAAAAATACTTTTATATTTACTAAAATTTGATAATTTTTTTCAAATAGCATAGATTTTGGAACTACATCTACATATTGATATAATATGGATCACTGTAAGGATATATATCACTATTCTAAAAAATGAACATTTATTTTATTTTATTTTTGTTAAAAAACACATGATATTATTCTTGATGGATTTAATAAATATTTATATTTTCTTGTAATATTTTATATATTTTAGATTTGATCTTTTTTAAAATTCAATGATTTTACCTATTTGTTTGTTGTATTGAATTATGTAAATTTTAGAATTTTAAAATGTGATACCAAATTACTGGTCTTAAGCATTATATGTATTTGATATTAAAACCTTCAAAAAATTAAAATAATAAAATCTAATCATATTTTTATAAAATTTATTGAATAGAATGATAATATATATATATATATATATATTATCAATGTAAAGTATTTAAATATCTATATGGTTTATAATTACAAGGACTATTTGGTTATATTATGTATACAATATGGCCAAATTTTAAAAATTAATTACTTTTTATATTTTTAAAACATATTTTTTGAACATTAATTATATTAATTTTTTAAATTAAAATATTCAGAATTAAAAAATTGTAATATATAAGATTATACAAGTTTTGCAAATCATAAATTAACTTAATCCACTGATGGATACTTAGGCTATTTCTACTCTTAGATTACCTTCTCTTAGGCTATTCTCATTCTTCTTCTAAGATCTTAGACTATTACCAATCTCAGATTACTTTCTCTTGAGCTATTCTCATTACTCTAGGCTTTTTTCAATATTAAATTAAGTAAGCAATCTAATTTTTTTGAATCTACCAAAGCTCTTTGTTTGAATGAACATTGATTTCAAATATTTATCTTCTCTAATGTATAATTTGAAAATTTATTCTTAGTGACCTTTTGAAGATATAGGCACAAGTATTTTGAATTATAACACATAATTTTTAAATTCACATTCTTCATTATATTATTACAAGTCCAATTTAATATTCAATTTCCATACTCTCAATTGAATGTTTTCTTATTATATTAATATTTTATTTTTTAACTATCTAAATATAAATATTGTATAAATTTTTATTTTTTGGTTTTCATTAAAATATTTTATTTATGCACTACTTTTATAAAAATAAAAAAATTGTTGAATGATATCAATAACTTTTTTAAACTAACATCTAAGTAGATAAGAAATTAAAAAATAATTTTAATGATAAAATAAAAGTATACAAAAATATAAAGCTCTATTTTACAATAGATTTTGTATTAGCTTTTAATTATGAAATACAATATTATTAATACAAAAATAATTAAATCCATAAGTTTTGTAAAAGCTCCAAAAGTTGACTAAATTTTATTAGAAAGTTATAATGTTTTAATTATATATTTTAAAAATATTTTATATATTATATATTTTAAAAATATTTTATATATTATATATTTTAAAAATGCCATTAAAAAACATATGAATTCCATGTTAAAAAATATTTTTTTATTTTTAAAATTAACTTATAATAATTAAATTAACAATAAATAACAAATAGTAACATTCATTGGTCTATTTACTTTGATAAGTAGAATTACACAAAGGAAAAATAGAAGTAGGTTAAATTATTGATATCTTATTGGAAAGCTTCCTAGAAACTTTGTAGACTTTATATATATATATATATATATATATATATAAGGGATTTGTAGGTTGACAATTTGATCAATAAATTGGTCGCATGTTGCATATTTAGCCACTTGTATTATAAGTTTGTCATGTGAGGCACATTTTGGAAACTTTCTGTACAAATTAGACACATGTCATATTGCCTATAGAACATTGCCTCATAATTCTTTAATATATAGTATATATAGAGGCAAGAGTGATGCCTCCTTCATTCTTGTCAATATCTTTCATATGGTCTTGTCTTGGTTCAAGAGTCTTCAGGAATTGGTAATAGCCATTCTAATTCTTATCTTATATCTATCTTTGATTAGTCTACTTTCTCTCTTGAGTGTTGTAAGAGTGTATTATTTCTTTAAAATTTTGTTATGATTTATGTCTTTGACACTATGTACATATGTTACGTATTTTTAAAAATAAAAAATAAAAACATAGATATTTTGCTACTATTTAAATTATTTAAATATCCCTTAAAGTTATCCATTGGTTTGTTTAAGAATATAAAATATTTTTTCACTATTAGTCCTCTTGTCCTCTACTCATCTATTTTCAAACAATCAATAAGCAACTCCAATGGATATCAAAATAATCAAAAGAGGGTACCAAAATATCTATAATCTCAAAAAAGTACATATGTGAAAGGAGACATCTCAAGAAAAAATTGAGAAGAAAAGTAAAAAAATAAAAGAAATAAAACATAAAAATAAAAAACAAATATTTACAAAAAAGAAGCAATCTTGTATTTCAAAAAGAAAACAAATAATTGAATACCCTCCCTTGACTATTTTTGTATCAAATAGATAACCTTAATAAAATATTATGTCACCACTAGTCCTTTTCTCCACTCATCTACTCTCAAACAATCAACAAGCAGTTTGAAAGGATACCAAAATTGCCAACAAATAACATTGTAATATTTATGCACTTCAAAAATTTCAAATGTCACTTTCTACACAATTCACTTAAAGATATCAAAACAACTTATTATTTAAAAACAAATTGTCATAAACAGGATCACAAAAAGTTGATAGATAATGTACAATCAAGACAAAGTTTAAAAGAAAACTCTAAGAATACCAAGTGCTCAACTATTTCTAACCATGCATGCCCACTAGACTGTGAAAAGCTCGTAACGACAACAAACAGATGAGTTCAGTTGAAATTCGTTGGTCTTTTTTAGCAGGATTCTTGACACTAATCAGCAATGCATCAGTTACGTGCGAGCCGCACAACAAATTGCACGAAAGAGCCACAATCGTGCGCCAGATTACTCTGCTCACCAAGCCAGGCACGTCGATACTAACTTTGTGCTTCGAACTACAATCCCGCATACGTTTTACTGAAACGGATATACTGTATGCACTTGAGCGTCGAGAATGCGATATCCGCAATGTTGTCTTCGGTGTAACCTTGAGAGAGTTTTATGCAGGGAAGCAGAAGAGGACTAAATTTGAATTATCTAGACGCTAATCGTGGCTCGCGGAGAGTCGAGACAAGCGTCGCAAATAGAAATAAACAAGACATGTTCGTCGCGATAGGCGCAGGGTTGAATGCCCATGACCGTGGAAAGATTGGTTGCCAGTAGACAAGCATGTCGGAGTGGCAGATTCCCTGACGGGCTTCTTCAATGCCACCTTCCAAGGGTTGGTTTCTCTCTATCAGTGTAGGAAATCTGTTGCGGGTGCGGATCGTGATATTTCCTAAAGGGACCGTCAAAGAGGATTCAGCCCCGTATCGACCAGGCGAACAAGTCCTGACAACTATTCCGCGACGATCTTCGAAGGGTAGCGAGTTCGGGCTCTGTTTGGAAGAGGAAGACACGGTACTTTTTTCTGCTTCTCTTGAATTGGAGTTCTGTCATCCCGCTGGTAGAGTTGCAATTTCACATCGTACGAAACTAGATCAATAGAAGACTTGGGAGAGGTTCAGCGGAGAGAAAAAGTTGCCGAAGCTTCACCACGAAACCGAAGAAACGTGACTCTCTGAGAATTTGAGGAGGATTGCTGCGGCTGCCAATTCCTGCCACTTCTAAGAAGATTTTGCAAGCCGCAGCGCTTGATAATGGCGAACTCTTACGAGGAATATGCCATTCGAGATCGGGTTCCCGATGCTAAGAAAGCAGTGTTGTTAGTGATTGACATGCAGGAGTATTTCAGAGGTATGGCAGAGCCTATTCTGCCGGCAATACAGCGAAGCATAGACCTAGCCCGAGCAGCTCGTATTCCGGTTATCTTCACTCAGCATTCTCACAACGGGCCATCGGAATATGGTATGCTTTACGAGTGGTGGGATGGCAACCTTATTATGGCTGGAAGCCCAGAAGCAGAACTCATGCCGGAGTTGCCGAAGCTTGAAGTAAGTAAACCGTTGCGTAGTGGTCTGGCTCCGAAACCTTCTTCGATGTGGTTGGTCTCTTGATACCGTTTGTTTCCTGGTAATTTCTATGTCGCCCTGATGCTGCTGCCCTTGATTGCTGAAAACAGAGCGACAAACTTGTGCCGAAGCACACGTACAGCGGTTTTTATAACACAGACTTGGAGAGGCATCTCAAGGAGACTGGGAAGACCGAGGTGATAATAACAGGGGTCATGACGAATTTGTGCTGCGAGACCACTGCCCGGGAAGCTTTTATAAGGGGGTTTCGTGTGTTCTTTTCAAGCGATGCAACAGCCACAATTAATGAGGATCTTCACGTCAGTAGCTTGAAGTCATTGGCATATGGTTTTGCGTACCTTGTCAATGTCAACAGCCTTGCTGCTATGTCGAAGTGAAGAAAACTCTTTGCAAGAGTTCTCACAGCCATGAACAAAAAAAATGTGGTGTGCTTGTAGTACGAATATTTTTTCAAAATGTGGATTTTGAAGGGATTTTGCAAATCTTCATTGGCCTTCCATTCACTTCCACCCAACAATTGACCACAATAAATTTCTTCAAATGTAATGTCCTTGTTACCAATTTTTGCACTTATTTTTAAACACACCCTATCCATGAATTTTCAGACATCATAAACATGCAAATCTCACATATTTCTTTTAAAAGTTTTGCTGTGGGGTTTCATCTCATGATTCTAAACCGTGACATGATATTTCGTCGTCACCCATCTACTTCCACACCATTGTCAATACAGACCTATTGATTAAACTTTCCCATAATGTGAATTAATGGAACTACTCTATACCAATCACTGACCCATCCTACACCAACTTGTATCAAACCATTACCAAATCACAAACTCAGATCACACGAGAACCTTCGAGATCTATCAGCTATGGAATCTGCAACGGAATCTGGAGCTTGAATTACATAAAACCACCTCAATTCATCGGACCTTAAACCTGGATTTCTCTCCAGTTTGTTACTTCCGAACAAAACAAATCCTCCACAGTTCTTGCTAGTTTTGCGTTGCCTGTCCTGATCCGCTGTGTCGTCGTCGCCGTGACTTTCATCTTTGCTCCTCAGGACCTGAATTCGGGTTCTCATCATGTGTGCAAAATAAAGAGACATGCGATTCAGGTTAGAACTGGTAACCTCTTTGTTTGATAGGTTGGTTGTTCAGTGACAAGGGTGACAAAAGGCATGTTGGAAGCTGAGAACAGCGATGGACGAGCTCAACATGGAGGTGTTTCTTTAGAGGATGGTCATAATCGTGACGCCGATGGCAATCAACATCTAGAACTTGGTTCTCACACTTGTACCATGCTTGCTCCGTTGGAATCGCCTGAACCAGCGGAAATTGGGTGAGTAATTTAGCACCGCAAACTTGGCGTGGCTGTAATTCAAGTGATCACTTTACAAGTATGGATTCAAAGTATGGATACTTTGGCAGTAATCAATTGAATATACCAAATGGAACTGGAAGATAATGCTCAAGAACTTCAGCCCCCCTCATGCTGTGAGACCGAGAAGGCAAACAGAATCGAGTTTCATCAGAGTGAATCTGTTTTGGTGAGGATTTCAGTCGTGTTTCCAAGCAAACACCGTGATGGCATTCCGCAGAGTTCAAGCGCAGTAATGGATTTATTTCCTCAACAAGCCAGTCCAGATTTTGTGTGAGTGTGAACTAAATCAAAGTATTCTTTACTGTTCACCGCGAAAACGAACTACTGTTCCATTTAAATCACGAGTTTCGTATGCAGATGATAACATTGACATGCATACCAAGTGCAGACATGAAATACTTTTCTATGCAACTATCTCACATGAGTTGCATCCTTAAAGATGTAGTGTGCAGAAGAGAGCGTACGAATGCATTGCATGAGTACCATATTTTTCGTCTCTTCGTCTGCTTGATGTTATCGGTGCACACAACATTGTGAAAAATGACACGAGCACTTCATTGCCATGACTAACGTGGGAATAAGATCGAATGCAGGAAGAATTGCGTTGAGTTTACTTGTATTTAATTTCTTTTGAGCGCAAACTTTACATGACCAATTCTCATTAATCTGAAACGTGCCTCTTCAAACAGACGACGTTTGTGTTGACCAATGTGCTGGCCAGGCTCACGCCTAAGCGGTCATGAGCTTGCGGTTAGATGAAGCATAGGGAGGGATGACGTAGCCTGCAAAATGTGTTGCAACAACGACACAAGTCTGTCATTATCCAGCATAAACAGGCAACTCTCAGTCGATTTCTGCCATCATATATATTTTGAAAAATGAGGATTCATCTAGTGTTTATGATGCCAGGGAAATTTACCGCCACAAGTGAAACCAGAGGGAACGGCGCGCTTGCATTGTTTAGGCAAGAGGAGAGCGGCGCGCAGATTAATGCCCATGGCATCCGTAAGGTTGGCGTACGTGGTGACAATACTGCAAAGGCAACTTGCATCGGAGCCGCGGACGACATCGCAGCACGCAACAGATGGCGATTGAGGGTTTTCACCTTCGATCGCTGGCATGCACGCTGATAAGGAGGACAAAGTATTAGAGCAAGGCCCGTTTGCTGCAACACCATTAAGTCCGTCAGCTATTAGAATCACAGTCACTAGTGCTGCCACAGCGTGGATTTTCGATGCGAGGTTTGCTTCCATATTTTCCCTTGTTGCTGTGCTGAAGAGTCTACGTTGAAAGAGCTGATTGACGACTAGAATGATATGCGATCACGTCTCAACTGGACGGATTTAAACGTTCGGCTACAATGATAAAAACGTACACTGGTATATTCAATGCAGTTGAAGGAATGCCTGTAATTGTGAAGTGGCAACTTTGGTAGGCACCACATCTCCCCACGTTCAAGGGATCCGCACCTTTTTAACCGGACGTTTGAGTAGGTTTGACGAATTGAGACTGTTTGTTTGGATTCTCTTGGATTCTGCTTGTTGTAGAGGGTAAATCTTTGAGCGCCTCGTGAATGTACTCTCTACCGTGCCATCCATCTACTCGAACTCTCCATTTTCACTGAACTACGTTGGTATTGCACCAATGGAGTTGCTGCATAATCATTGTTCAGTCGTAGGAACCGTTTACAGGCTTTGTTTTGGCTTCGGGTTATTTTAGACGAGCAATGATGGGATCGGATGCAATAAATTCTGCAAGAATGAATTTAAGGATTCGGGAAAATCAGAACCATCGACTGTTCTTGCCTGTTCAGCTTCACTTAATTACTAACACTCGGCTCCAGTTGATAAGACTTTTAAAGTGTGGTACAATGCGGAACAGGTTCTATTTCCGTGAAAGTTGAAGGGCTTCAGTCTTGCTGACTGATGCATCTCATATCTGACGACCTCCGCATCACACGTTTTTACAAGATCGTCTGTTATGTGTATTACAAATATCATGAAAGTACTGCCACAGAGGTTTTCGAATCCAAAAAATGTGATTGAATTTATCCTTCCCAAAAATAATGGCATGCATGATAGAAAGTGAAACATACGCATTATGGTGAAACCTCTCGAGAATTATGCAGGGTGACTCCACATCGAATTGGCACCTTTGCAGCAAGTGGTTCATGTCCACTCACTCTCTGAAGACAATCCAATTATGACGTCACCTGGCTATTTAAAGAGATTCACTCGGCAATTCCCATTGAATTTTGATGGATTCCATTATTTCATCTAAATCAACTCTTGCTTACTCGAGTTTGATTTTGGATGTGCGATAGCATTTAATTGTAGGCTCGGTTCTTGCGATGTACAGGTCAGATTTGGTGATCAAGCAGCCGGATGAGCGTCTCAAGAACAGAGCACTGCTTGGTTAATCGTCGAATGATTCATCGACGACTGCAATTCCTCGCCATGAATGACAGTAAACCTGCCAGTGCCAGTGTTGATGCAAGACGAGAGTCGGGATTTCAAGTATCATGTGCGAGTGTCAGCTAGAAGTTACAAATAAAATCACACCTGTGTGTACGACACCTTACATTCTTCTAGAATGCACGTGCTCGCCATTCAGAATTTGCATTATAATTGTGGACTGTGCACGCAAAGCCAACCAGCTATTTCCTTAGAAATCTCAATTGATTACGACGTTGAATCAGCGTAACAGGTTCGTCATGGCCTCCGCGGGTTCCTACACAAATCGTTGTTATCATGCGTTCAAACCAATTTACGCCGCAGGTGTGAGGACGACAATTTCCTGCACTTCTAGAGGACACTTACCTCAAAATAATTTCTTAACGCTACAATTCAGATGACGTGTTCGCAAACCAGGCCGAGAACAAATTCCAGACTGCAGCGACATTTCTTACTTCTGCGCTCAACCGGGGGGAATGCCATCGCGCACTTGATTTCATAACCTTTCACAACACGCCTCACGACTATTTGCATTAGTGATCTCCGTGCACTGCATGTAGCCTAAACTTGAGAGCTACTTCAACTGGTCGAACTCTGGTGCAAGCGCAAGTCGGAAGTTACAGAGATGGCCTGCAACACAAAGCTCTGAAACCTGACATGGATCTAAAGAGACAGGATCTTCGAGTTCACGTGATGCGCTAATGTTACTATCGGGGGGAAGAAGTCATCGCAAGCCTGCCAGTATTGAACGACGCTCGATAGCATTTACGGGCGATGGCGGACCTAGAGGAAGACAACGTTGAGGAAGCATGGTCATGGAAACCCTAACTGCCCACGCTCTGAGTTCTACGAATAAAATAAACAAATAAATAAATAAACTAGAGTTGGATAATTTTTGCATTCTGGAGAATTCTTTCAATTTTTGGATGCAAAAATTTCATGAGATTCTACTAATTAAGGTGCAATACATTGTGTCGCCCTTTCAACTTGTGTCATAGTTTTACATGCCTTTTATTATTTTGCAAAATTATTTTGGTACAACACATATATTTATGTTATTGTAACTAAAAAAAAATAGTAAAAATGTAAAATAATTTTCAAATTGATGGAGACATGACTTACATTGTTGAACTTGATTTAATTCTTTTTTCAAAAACATCAACTTTGTATATACAATTGTCTTTGAAGTTCGTCCCTTGTTGTTCCTACTTTGATGGTGGCTTATGACTATTTACAAAAATAACAAATAATATAGGCATCTATGCATGTGTGTGTATATATATATATATATATATATATATATAATAAAAACCCAGTTTCAATATCATCTGTAAGTTTGTTTGTTTTTTTTTTATTTTTTTTTATAATATGTGCACCAAATCATCATTGTTGGAATATGATGTAAATGGCCTTTAAACTTTGTACAATGCCACCAAAGTGAGATGATATATTGTTTCTGATTGTAATTTTTTATTTTTTTACTGAATTATGGAAAGCTTATTCTACCAAAACGTCAAGTAAGATGTTACAAAGTGCATCTTCATGTCAAAGTGTGTGTATGTGTATGCCCCACAGACAGACACCATTGTTTACTTCGGTGCACTGTAAGTCTGAACATAATAAATGAATATTGTGCACCACTTATTAATATCAAGGAGTCGTGTATGAATACTTCTATCAAATTTCAAAAATTATGCATAAATGGGTTGGAGACAGATATTTAATATAAAATAAACCAAAAATACCAAAATGACGGTATAAAGAACAAAATTATGGGATATTCACTAAAAGAAGTCAACAAAGACTGCAACCCGCAAAAATAAAAGTTGCAAGTAAATAAATAATTGTATCCAATCATTCATTTTTTGTCCATACATGCAATCTGCAGTATTTGAATTGATTATGCAACACAACTGCTTTCGACACAGTGAAAATTTGCAATAAGTGAAACATAGTAAAACAAAACCTCATATCAGGTGATTTCAGATGTACCAAGAAGTACTATGAATGGTTAGTTTCAAATGATTCTTCCTTGAAGAAGAAATGAAGAACATCATGTTTGAGATAGAAATTATTTAATTAATTTTGGGTTTTCAGAAAAGGTTTTGTAAATAAACCATAAAAAGTTAAACAGACTTAGTTACAAACATGGGACGAAAATAGGATTGTATCTATACAAATACTTTGTTTTTACCATGAAAGCTGAAAAAGAAGAAGAAAAAGGAAAAACCTTCAAGGATTCCCGAAGGTCAAACTATACATTCCAAAATCTTTGTTGTGATAGACGTTAGCATTACAACTCAGCTTATTTGCTAGCGAAGAAAAAAAAAATAAGAAGAAAAAGAAACGGAGCAATAATCAAAATACAAACATCAAACAAATGGATCTTATAAACAACCTCGTAACCCATGTCACGTTGCAATAATTTTGTATCCAATTCGGTTAATATTAACCAACTCAAAAAATTCAAAGCCCATTGTTTTTGTGACCTGTACTAAGACATATACCCCTTTTCAAAAGAATACCCTAAAACACTGACATCTCAGCAAAACATGTACAGATCCACACAATCAGCACCCTTCCTCACAACGGCTAAAAAAAAACCCACACAGAACCACACACTGGGAACACCCAATCACTAAACAAGCCTAGACAACAAAATCAATACCAGGGGTCTGTTTTTAGAGCCTACTTTTATGAAGGTGTCAGCATTATTGCGAGCTTCGTGCCCACAGTGCGATGCCACATTGTAGCTTCGGGGCTACTACTCTGTGTGAACTAGGGCCCTACCCAGAGGGGGGACCATAGCCGTTGAGGCTCTCAGGCTATGGTGCCACAACAGACTGCTAATCGTGTTTCTTTGCAATAAATGGTCACTGCGTTTCCCAGAAACGCCAACAATACAAATAGTTACAGCCAAATATGCAGCAGGGGTGCTGTTTGCCGTGGAGCTGCAGCTTTGCCCATGGCGTGGAGATTCCGCGTCTTGGGGTGCGGAATCTTCATGAGAGAGTGAAGAGCTGTGAGCTGTTTTTATATCAATGTTTCCGCACATGGTTTCTGTGTGCACAACTAAAAACAAAACACTTTTGTTTACCTGAAATCGGCGACTTGTCCACTGCCTCACCGTTGTGAATTTCACTGTGCATGGTTCAGGGCTCTTTTGATTACACCCAAGGCGCAATTTGTTTTTGTTGTGGTGATTTTTTTCTAGAGTGGGTGTGGGTCGCTAGGTACCTGGTTCCAGGTCCAGCTGATCGGCTGTTTGTAGAGGATAAATGTCGGTGTATTTCGGGATTGTCGATCAGGTTGGAGCTGTTGGCTGGGAGTGATGTGTCGTGCCTGCTTGTGGCCGGATTTTTAGTAGCTGATGCTATCATTGAGTTCGCAACGGTCTAAGGAGCTGGCAGCTGCATGGATTTTGGCCATTTGATTGTGGTAACACTGCGAAATGACTGGTTCCGAATGGGGCTTAGTGCTATCTAGGTTTCAGCGCGAGGGCTAACCGGAAGTATATGTGAGCGCCGTACAGCATCTAGATTCGATCTGTTCGACCCCACGCTGACCACTTACGGTTGTGCTTGAATTTTTATCTCCTGATGTGCTGCTTTCTCATGTGTGCCATTGTTAGATGAACTGTGTTGAATCTGATCTGATATCATCCCGTCTCGTCCTGCCCCTTGCTTCCAGAGTTTCTAGGTGTTGGACATCCTTGGCGTCGAGTAGTTAGCCCCGACTCGACTTGTGTTAGAAGTGATTGCTTTGCGCGTTGAGTAGAGTGAATTGCGATTCTGGATAGTTGTATTCTTAGTGTGCACCTTGTTTGGTTCGAACTTCTGCGTCTGTTTTGTGCGTAGATCAGAGTCTGCTTACTGACATACTATCACAGTGTTCGACGAGTGGGCCTCGAGGCATTTTTTTCATCATTCACAGCAGGAAGTTTCCTGGAGTTGTTGATAGTGATATCCTACACTGGTGGCGGAAGCGAGCAGAAGTTATTGATACAATCTGGCTCCCCTTCACAGGACCTGGTCGAAGATTCTGATTATCGGAGTAGGTAAGGTTTCTAAGGGAAGGAATTTACGGGAAGCGTGCGCCGTGACCAAGTGCACTCGAGCTTTCAGCCAGTAGACTACTACGTGGGAATTCAAACCTTCTGTTCCAGTATCTTCACCATTCATCAGTGTGAGCGAGTGCCGTCATGGTTATGGTTGCGCTTCCCGCAGATTTACGCAATATTTTTTTCCTGGCTTCGTGGTCAATGATACTTATACTGCACCAGTTGAGCTCCTAATTCAAGAGAAGTCTGGGGATGACACTATAGTGCATTGATCCATGATGACTTTGTCTGAGCCCACTATAGTACCGTACCTGAAGTTTCGATTTTGAATGAAAAATGACTCGGTTCTGGGTTCCTTGCAGGATTTGCCCAGCTGGCGATTCAAAGTCGTCAGCAGGTCTAGCGGAAAGGACCCATTGTTGTAACGCATTTTTCGGTAACCAAGGCAACCGTTTCGCAGGTAGCCTTTTGAACTCATCAAGTCGGGGCCGTAATTAAGTCAGAGCTGCGCTTCTAGCAGGTCTAGTAGGTCAGCATGCGCCGAATAAAATTTCCGAGGCAAAAGGCTGGGTGAGGGCAATGATCTCTCTCAACAATTTGCTCATTGTTAAGTTACTCGTTTGTATTTCATCGATGTCAACACGGCTACAGAAAGAGTTAGCGTCTCAGCGTCACCTCTTAATTACCTTCACCGATTTTCGAAGGAAACTCGGTCATCAAAAACCGTTCCGGATCTAGCTAGAATGAACACGAACTAACAGAATTGAAACGAAGGATATCAGACATGCTGGAAATATCCTTACATAATTACAGCATTTCCAGGATTTGGTATCTTACGTCGGGCACTTCTACGGATGTGCCATCGAAATCTGATCCATGTCCTCAAAGATTTTAGTTACAGTTGGGGTAATGACAGTCCGCATTTTCGGCTATTCGGCATTTCGCTACATCTTGTGAGCCTAGTTAATTCTTTCGGTTGTAGCAAATCTAGTCACTGCACGCCACAATGAAGTGCACAGCTGTCTAATTGTCTTGATCTGATTCTCAGGATCCACTATATGTGATCTTCATGTTAAATCATAGGAAGCAAAGGGGAGATGCGATGCCTTAGATTTTGCCTGAAAGGCTAACGAAAAGATTGTTAATTCTCAGAGTACGTAGCAACAGTATATTCCTGAGCGAGATGATGAAAGACGACGATGACAAGAAGATTCAGGCTCCGGCCGACGATGTATGGCTTCCAAAAGGGCGAGGCTCTCAAACCAAGGTGGTGTACTGCTTGTGCTTTATTGCAGCAGCATGCACCATCGCTTTGTGGGGCTTGAACTCCTCCAAGTTGATCGTGAGTAGAAGCAGCGCTTCGAACTCACCGCCTATATACGGCCCAAATAAATTGACACCCGAGGAAGTGCGCGAGTATCTCGCCGATGTCGACAAGGGAATGAAGGCGTTTCTGAATAGTAGCACGCCTTTCACGAAATTTGGGCCCCCGGTCGTGGATTGGGACAAGACCCGCAGGGACGCTATTCGCCGGAGCACGAACTCGTCCAGTGGAGTGAATCCCAAGCCTCGGATCATGATCATCACCAGCTCGCATCCGAAGAAATGTGAGAACAAGCAAGGAGACCTAATGCTCTTGAAGTCTATCAAGAATAAAATGGATTACTGTCGGCTGCATGGGATCGAGCTATACTACAACATGGACCATGTCGACACTGAAATGACGTCGTGGTGGGTGAAAACTTTCCTGACGCATATGCTCATGAAGGAGCACCCCGAAATCGACTGGTTCTGGTGGATGGATAGCGATGCTATCTTCACCGACATGACCTTCGAGCTCCCACTGCACAAATATGAGAAGTACAACATGGTAATGCACGGATGGGAAGATGCTGTGTATGACAAGCGGAGCTGGTTAGGGCTCAACGCCGGCGTCTACTTGATCCGAAACTGTCAGTGGTCGATGGACTTCCTGCACGCTTGGGCACCGATGAGCCCGAAGGGCAAAATCCGCGATGGTGCTGGCGAGTTTCTGACTCTAGCTCTTCCCGATAGAGGCAAAAGTGAGGCGGATGACCAGTCGGCGATTGTGTATCTCATGGTGACTGACCGGAAGCGGTGGGGGTCCAAAATCTTCCTAGAAAGCTCTTTCTACTTCCAGGGCTACTGGAGACATCTGTCAGGAAGATTTGAGGAGATGATGGCGAAATACAAGCCAGGTCTGTATGGTGACGACCGATGGCCTTTCGTCACGCATTATTGTGGATGTGAATTTTGCAGTGGGTCGATTAATCCTGAATACACTAGGGATCAGTGCCTGATGCACATGGAGCGGGGCATCAACTTTGCTGATAATCAAATCATCGAGAGATATGGCCTCCGTCACAAGTCACTAAAGACTCCCGAGGTTGAGCTGACGAGCAAGGACCAGCCCCACAAGAACGAAACCTCTACCGCCAAGGCAGCTCATTCGAAGAGGACATAAAGTCATGTCGACCATCCACCGTCCAGTGTTGGATCATTAAGTATATTCCGAAATCTCCATGGTTGCAGAACGTTAGCTCTGCAGAGAAGCTATCCAGATATAAGAGAAACTAGCATATTCGCTAAGGTTTTCTCTCTGGTAGAGCAGCATCTGCCTAGTGATAACATGGGCGGTGGGCCCTCCATGTCGAATTGCGACAATGGACAATTCGGCCCGAAGTGTTTATATGATGTTGTTATTTTACCGAGGCCATTGAGCACGAAGTAGAGATGGGATGAGTATAAAGCTAAAGGTGAAGAGGAGCCACCATATTTACCACTCAAACTAAAGAAAGGTGAAGACCTGTACATGCTTGAGTTGACATTTCATCACGTCCCTAAATCATTTGTGGTTGGAGTCCTGATTGACGATCATAATTTTTATTCACTAGATTTATGAAATAAATGGGCGATGCTGTCATGTTCATGCTTCGAACTTCTGAATTAACTTCTTTTAAAAGAAGCATGATGTTGCAATACTTTCTCGCCTGTTTGTGAAATTGTAATCGTTCTGGTCATCTGAAGAGGACGTGTCACCAGGTAGAACCGGGTGTACAGGAAAAGGAAAAGGCCGATGCCGATGAAGTACTTAACAGGCCGAGTGCAACTATTATTTGAACAGATTAGGCATCTAAATCCTACTTAAGAATTCCCCCGTTAATATCGTGTCTTATTAGAGTTGCCCCAGACGGTTGTGAAACTTGCAGGTGTACTCAAGCCCCTACGCTTGAGTACACTTCATTTGTTGTCATTCAACGGAGTGAATGTGCTGGGAAATATATTGGTATAGCTGCCTTGCACCTCCGTGCGTGGGCTCTTTCAACAACTTCTAGCTGCTTTTGTGACGCGAAGTGACAGATCTTGCAATTCCGGTCATTAAGGGAAAATTTCAACTACTACGGGATACATCGATTCTCTGATTACTAACTCATTCCCCTACCAAACCAATCAGGCAGACTTGATGTACAACCACATCCATATGCTGCAGACGTTAAGGTCCTCAAGGCCGAAGCGTTGAGGCGGAATGACAATCTCTGAAAGAGACAACGTTGACAAACAGAAATGACGAGATGAGAATTTCGGATCTGATGGTGAGGTGCTTAATTCAGCAAATCGCGCTAATACCAGAGGTGCACATTCCCTGGAAATGCCAAGAAGGTGACAGAGAGTACTGCCAGACACACAGAAAACTACTAGATGTACAAAGAACTTAATCACCCCTGTAAGTGTAGACATAAACATTTCAATCCAGAGACTCAGAACCTGAAAAAACGAATCAGTAAAAGCGCAGATGGGAGGTGTTATCCCGATAATAGATTTTTCCGCTCTTCCTCCTGATTTTGTTTCGTCTTCACTATTCTTATAGCATTTTGGCTTCCGGAAAAACTAAATGCATTACGCAGACACATCCAACACTATTCTGTGGATGTACGCAAACTTTCTAGAGTGATTGGGTTCTGAAATCGTGAACTTGAGCAAACTTCAGACACTTCAGACACTTCAGATTTGTTGCAACTTGCCGCGAGTTTAATGATTTGACTTGAAACTCCAAGCTCCGCACAGAATTGGTTCAACGCTATTGCAATTTCCGTATTGAAGCATAGTCCCATGCGTTGTGGGCCTGATTGAAGGTTGAAACATGTTCAGACAAACCTGGACTGCACTTATGACAATAGAGAACTTAAACTTGTAAGTAAGCCTGCCAAAGTTTATTTTTGGAAAAGTTGTGAAGAAGCAAACTACAATTGATAATGTGACTGTCAAACATCTGCCTTGAGACCGCTATATCGGAGTCAAGCACAACGTTTTTGGGTCAAATGAAAATACCTGAACTAAAACTTCTCAAAGCACTAACTTAAGTAACAGTGCACATTGACATGTTTTGGATCGCATCTTATTCAATGGCCTTGCCTTGAAACCTCGGTCACATCAGAGCTGTAACATGTGTTGGGGGTTTTCAGATAACCAGGTGTACTACAGCAAATGGGAGAAATGCGTTGGAATCGTAGCTCGAGCGTAACGCATAAATTTCCAAAGCCCTACGGCAAGCTCTCGATTGCCATAAGGATCAGTGGTCTGTTCTGGAAACGCAATTCCATATCCAAAAAGACCGTCTGCAATTCTGCCATTCAGTGGATCGTATTTCACATCCACGAGCTCTTGTCCGATGACGGTAATTTTTGGCAACACATTGCGACAGAACCCTACCGCTTGAATGAGTTTTGTACACCTTTGCCAATGCGCAATCTGCTCATCCAAGGTTAAACCTTTCACACAAACCCGGGTTACTATGCCCTTGTCCTCCAAATTCCCTGTATCGACCTCTTTCACAGCCCACTCCGCTACCTCTCCTTTGAGCCCCGTGTTGTCGTACAAGATCCAATTGTCCATGTATTGGGCATACAACAATGGACTTCGATAAAAATTAATGATTTTCTTCGGCTGCACCTTACAATCAACAAGGTTCCTTAATGCAAGCATGGCTGAATGGCTACTGCCTACCACTCCTACAGTGTCACATTCTGAAACAAGACCAGCAAGAGAGGATGGCTTGAGGGCCAAATCCAGGTGAATGTCTTCCACTCCGCTTTGTGTGTCATATTTCGAAGGCATAGAACCAGTCACAAGGTATACCTGGTCCACTACTTCCCCTGAATCTATATGCCATTTGCCATCCAAAAAACTGAGCTCCTTCACAACATTTTCAGAGCAGCGCACCCGGTTGACGTCTTGTTGGCGGATACAATCTGTTAGGGTTTTGACCATGCGCACGGCAAGGGAAAGAGAGCAACCTCGATCTGGATCCTGCCCATTGTAATGCTCTAAAGCTTGACTTGCGAAGCGGTTCAAGGTGGGTGACGTTGTGACAAATTGCTGGAACAGTTTCACTTTGGTGTTGGATGGAACCTCAGTGTAGGAGGAAAGACGGCCAGAGTTGAAGCGTGGATCAATCCACAAAATGGAAGTACACCCATGATCCAAAAGGGTTGAGACTACAGCAAGCCCTGCTGGTCCAGCACCCACAACAGCCACCTTGTAGTGGTCAAGTCCGCCTGCTGATAAAAACAACAGAGTCCACAGCGGAAAATGCGCAAGGTATTAGTCCAAAATAGGATAAAGATTGTTTTGAAGCTTCGCAATTTGTCTCGTCAATAAGTCAAACAATCTCACAGGTATACCCACAAGTTTCCGCAGTATACCTTGCAGTGTTAGGGGTTAAATCAAAGCTACGCAGACAGAGACTGCGCCATCAAGAAAGCCATCTCCACTAATTGTATCTAAAAATGACAGAACGTGATGCGCATAATACGCTTGAATTGGAGAATAGTAGCACATCATACCCGACGCATCTGAATGGATCCCTTCGCAACGACGCCCCACCCGATTCAATCCGGCGCAGCTTAAACCCTCCCCGCTCCATTGCGAGCTTTCAACAACAGATCGATTCTCAACCACCCCCATTCCACTTCGCAGCCACAAGCTCGACAACCTCCGAAGAGCAATTGAGCCGTTGCTACGCAACACGGCCATTGCCCTGATCGAGGAGACCGCAATGCTTAAATCCTTGACCCAGCAGAATCGCAAGGAACCAAAGACAATCACAATATGCACAGCATGTGCACAGTCACTGCGTCAGAAGTCATGCTATATATTGGTCACTGTGGTGATCGCCGACATTGTCATGCTTCATCATCCTGTTCTCGGAACCTGAACTCAGCCGTCGCTACCCCCATGGCCATGGTTTTCCCATAATGCCCATTTCTGTTTTTGTGCGTGATTGACTGGGCTTATGTCACCAGTTTGGATGGTTTTGTTTCACGTTGGGGATCCAACAAGATGCATAACTTGATGGCAAAAGTTTCAACATTCAAATACCAAATACCAATCTAATCATTTGGGCCACATATACACACGCACATAATTATATATATATATATAACAAATTTCGTTCTGATTTATTTCTAGAATAATTTGAAGTTTACACTTCATGCTTTGTATAAAGAATTGGGACCCAGTACTTGTCATAAAGACCAACCAACTTACAAAAATTCTAGACAATTGTGCAGGAGCCAGAAAACTTTTGAGGAATTCCTGTCCTCGAACCAAAAAATTACTCGTGGAAGAGATTGATTAGCAAGAAATTGATACATATTGCACGGTTTTCTTTCAAATTTCAAGAGCGGAAGACCAATCCAGCCAAGATTTCTCTTCCCTATGCAGCAGTTCTCCCCCAAGTTGCTTACAATTGTTATTGACATTCACCACTTCGCAAGCTTTGCAGGAGTTGCAGATAACCTGGTTGATCTGGATGAATATATCTGGAGAGGAAAGACAAAAACGGAAGATTGTGAGATATGTTCCATCGACATGAGACTCAAAGCCAAGCCGACTACTTGAAGAGAGTCTCATCAATCTACAATACCTGATCTCTGAACCCATTTTTTAAGGATGAAGGAGGATAACGAGACACGAGTGAGGGACAAATTTAATTTCTTAGAAGGAGAGAGAAAAGTTCACCCATTTCGGAAAAGGAAATCAATAACCACAAGGGCACAGTTAGGCTTGTAGCGCTGGCTAGTGCGGATGATTTCTGCCACTTCCGCAACAGGCACCAGCTCAAAGCTTTCAACTTCACCGTCTGCACCAACACCACACAGTGCATATGCGATAATGAGCGAGAGTTATTTTGCATTGGCCGCTGCTCGACACCTACAGGAATACTTTCTGATACCTTTATTAGAAGGTTGGAAATCCGCGGGCAGCTCCAAATCATAGCAAAACAGAACGTCCCTCTTGAATGCTTCTCCCTTGATCTGCTCATAAGAAACAGCTCCTACAGCAGTTGCTCTATACACATTGCACATTACAGGTTTAGGAGTGGGGAAAGCCAAGGCGCTGCAAGAAAATCCGTGAGGACTCCCAACCCTGTAGGATCAAAGTGGCTGGAAGAACAGAAAGCCGAAGACAAAATATTAAAAAAAAATTAAAAATTAATGAAATGACAAAAACGAAAACGAAAATGAAAAGGAGTAAACAAAAACACCAAACAACCAAAACAAAATACATTTTTAATAAAACTTATATGTCAAAACTCAGGAAAAAACTTGCGATTCTTGGACACTTCGCATAAGTAGTGTAAGTAATCTAGATTTACTTTAAATAACAGTGTATTGATCCCAAGCAGTAGAAAAGATTTAAGTCCACACCAGATGATTAGCAAGTTTTCGGACAAGTGGTAATCGACGTACTTTTCAGCAAGAAATGCAGGTATTGCAGCTTCCTCATCACATTCTTTGAGAAGGTTCTCCTTGCAGCCAATCCCTTCAGACTGGCTTAATAGAACCATTAAAAGGAAAGAACTGTAGTCAGTAAAGCTCTTTCATGCTTGAATGCCAGGAAGAGACGATCTGGATTAGAGGATTCGCAGCGAACTTAGCGTGCAAACGTATTCTGTACATCACAAATAAAGAAATATAATATTCGAGAGCAGCGAGGTACAGGATCTGACCTGTCCGCCAGCGACAAGATGGTCGAGCATGCCTGGGAATGTTTGCTTCGTTGCACTACGCTTAGCAACCCAAAGATGTTTCTCTCCATCGACTTGAACATAACCATTCATGTGTACACCATATGCCTGTTCAGTTTTGATTGCATCAGACTGACGGCAAGTTGGAAGGAATAATCAATTCCTTGCCAGAAAGAACCCTGAAGTCTGATTCATTTGAAGAAAGTGACAGCTGAATTCCGTGAAGCATCTTAGACCTGAAAGTTACGATATTGTTTCAAATCGCACACGTAGTAAGGGTACCTTAATGCCAAAAAAAGGGACAGCGGCACGCTCTAGACTGAAGAGTGAGCGTCCTCCAAAACTGATCACCACTGGGTAATGCTGCATGTGAACACACGAAGCACCAAAGAAACAGGGCTTTAGTGTACTATGCATTAAACTTTATCAACAAATTTGGGTTGGAAACCTACATTCAATTTGAATATATCAAGGATATTTTCAAAAATGCTATATTCATGGATCATCATTATTTGTTGCAAAATTGGCACCTTGCAGTTACAACGGATCACATGCCTCCAAGAAAGTTTCAAGATTGCCAGCAATAATATTGAATGGTGAATGAACAAAGTTGTACATAGTCTAGAAAATGAATACTGGTTGAATTACCTCATTGCGCCAGCCAGGAATTAGTCCCTCCATTTCGAGAGAGAGCAACACAACCCCAATCGCATCAGTGCGTAATTGAGGTGTCTGAAGCAATTCGTGCAACGTGACCCAGCCTTTACTCATGCCATTGACTACATCATCTCTAACAATAAAAACCTCAGGAAACCGTCTCAAATGTTTTAAGAATCTGCCACAACACGTAGCTTCGTAAGTAACCACAGAACCGCCACTGAAAACCTACGTAGGTACAGAACAAATTAAGCATGCATTCCGAATGTCATATGCAGATTGAAAGGGCTGTTGATCAATACTGAAATGAAGTGGCTCTTCGACACAAATCTACCTTGCACGGCCACAAACACTAAAACAAAATAGTGCATATATCCCGTCACATACTTAGGGTGGATGTAACCAATTTTACTGTCTTCGACAATAAAGGGCAAAAACTCCACCTGCCTTTCCTGCAAGGTTCAACGATTTTCAGCATACAGAGATAAGATTGGGGATACAATTCGTTCAGCATATTTTCAGGAACTTCAAAGCCGTTTCAAACGCTTGTATGTTTGAGAAGGGTATACAATTCAGACAAAAATGGCAAAAATAGGCGGAAATGAGTAAACGTCCCAAAGTTGGCGACAGAAATTTAAAGAGTGATATACTTGGTTGAGCGACACTCGAGCATGAGAAAATCGTATTCTACATATCAGTCGAGGGCTTCATCAGAATTAACACCCAATTTATAAGTTGAGGACAAGACGAAAACTGCGTTAAGAATTGGAAAGCAAGATAATGTACAAATATGAAGTGACGGAAAAGAGATTGAGTACCCACCCGCCCAGAATTGCAGATATAAACATGCTTCCAATACCCTTGAAGGTCGTTCTCTACCGCTCTAGAGGCAGCCTGTGCGCTTGTGATGCGCGCCCACAACCTCGGAACGACGTGATTAATCGATTTACTGACTCGGATGAAGTCGCTAGTTGTGCCATGGCCGTTCAATGCTGGTCTCAAGTGAGGAGATGCCAAAAACCGGGAGATACACGGCATGAGCAATGTCGCCATAGCTGCAGTTGTAATGACTATCAAGAATCGCCTCCCTCAACAATCTGCTACAAGCGTGACACAAAACTGTGCGGTATCAAAACTCAATACCTTAAACCCTGCAAAAGATGCTCAGGGTGCGCAGACGTCATTAATTCCTGCGAAACCATACCGTTAAGACCTTCGACAAATTGGCGGGACTCAACCAGAGGGGCAGGTTTTCTGTCTTATGCCAACTCGCATCAGACTGAAATTCTAGCAAAATCAGACAGATTAAATTGCCCGAAAGTAATCTTCTATTATCTTCTAAGGTGAGAGGTTCAATGACACCTGCACTCCCTCAAAAACTCATGCCATGGATTTCACACAACAGCAATTAACCCTGGTCAAAACCATAGTGAACCAGGATGAGCGTCGAAGTGTAGCCGATTCATTTCCAGGAAATTTTCCCGCTTTGACATAATAAGGAAGCTGTGGGGCCCTTATTCTCAACTGAAGCGCACCGGAGAATGTCCAGAACTTGTACGTAGCTGAATTTGTTTCTCAACATACGAGTTCAAAAGAAAGTCCATCGCTGTTGTATGGGAACGAAACTATGCAGTGATAGTCACAGCAAACCCTTACCACCTCCGCGTTTCATGCTCAAAGGTACTATGAAGTGTCAAGTGCTACAAAACCTTGCGACATAAGCCAGTCCATCACACGGAAGTGCAAAAATGAAGTAGAAAGTGTTGACACCACAAAACAACCCCCACCCAGAACCAACAAATAGGAATAGATTACAGATTCAAAGACTTTGTAATATAAAAGCATGTCAAGGATGTAGCTGTACACTACTCTAGAGAGAATTTTCTAATCTCTTTTTTTACACTCGCAAGGTTCTCATGTGGACATTTTGAAAATCTGGGTTTCCTCAATCACATACGTAGAGTCTCCCAGAATCCTCAGCTCAATAGTAGATTCGTGCTTGCTACCTCGTACCTAAGCAGCCTCGTTTTTCTTCTCTCTCTCTGGACGGAACAAATTCCTTCGTACAATAGGATGGCCTGAGTTGGACCTATTCGAACAAAAACATAACATACAGGTGAATGCAGGCTAGGAAGTGCTTCTATTATCTACACTCTGTAGACTACTCCAATTTCAATGGAGGATGCTTGCGGTATATGTAATACAACGGAAGGTCCCCTGCATATCCGCCTCAAGAAGGTGTAGACAAAGTTGATTGCAAACTTCTTCACCAATGACGACGCACCGGTTGCCTCCACGTAAGAGTGACCAAGAATATAGACCACGCCCCTCTCCTTATGTTCTCGGAGCATTTCAAACTCCCGCACAACCGCTGGATGTGGTTGCTGGCGCTCAGGACTTTCGAAACGAACGCGCTTCTTTCCACCCCTTCGCGAAGGAGGTTCTCTGCAAGCGATCTTCACAAACCAGCACGGAAAAGATTGAAGTCAGCTTCATTTCGACAAAGGAATTTGCCGTTGAAACTTCACATCTCATTTGCAGGTTGCATAAATAATATTAAGGATTTTGTCCGTCGTGTTGATTGGCGTCATGAGCAGGTTTTGATTCAACTGGAAAAAGGGAGAGTTATGACCTAATGGAGGAAGCAGAGTAGTACCTGAGACATTTCCAGTGGTCGGTCCCTTTCCTCTAGTCTCTCCATGATTACTGATTCATTGTTCACAGCGTGCACTAGACATAGTGATCGACTGATTCCTGATGACTGCATCACTCCGCCGGCTCTGTCGTCGGAACTGAAGGATTCAGATCCCGCATCGTCCTCTGCCAGAATAAATTCACCTAGTTTTTTTATGAGTTTATCCTCGAACGTGTTGTCATCTTTGTGGGTATCTTTGTATCCATAGCGAACGATGCACCTGTCCAAAGCACCAAGAGTTTAGTTACTAAAACCCAAGCAAACACTTCATTCAGTAGCTTGTCACTGGCTGAATGACATGAATGGCTGAGTCTCAATAAAAACAGAGTACCAACATTTATCATTCATGCATTGGCCTGGTTTTATCGGCAAGACGATCGCAATCTCTTCGATTACAATGCACACAAGTCCAAACATCAAAACCACCATGATTTGCAGCACAGGTAGGAGTAGTCTAAGGAGAAATCCTAAACCTGTACAAGCGCAGGTCCTTTGAACCAATTCGCCCCACAAGATAGCGCTCTTGTGAAGGAATATAAGGTACTGGCACATGCTTAATGGTGACAAGCACCAGGAACTCATGCAGAGCCGGCAGATTTGTGAAAAAATGGGCCAAAATAGGTGGAACTCCCGTGACAAGCTCTGTATAGTAAAGACCAATACCAGGGACACGGACGCCTCCCATGGGCGGCCCAATCTGCATCAACGTTTGCATTGCGACTTTGTTCTCTAGATCATACTGATACTTCTTCGAAGTCCCGTAATTCCATATGTACATGATGATCACGAAAACGAAGGATATTACCAGCGGAACCCACCCCCCTTGAGGCACTTTCAGAATGGTCACGGAAATGTACATCGCCTCAATGGACCCGAAAAATATGAGGAAAGCCAAAGCCAAAATTATGCTTCGTCCCCACACAATCAAAATGACCAAAGCCATGAGGCAAGTCGTCACAAGCATCACCGTCATCACTGCAAGACCTGCAATACTCCTGAGCGTCAATAATAACCAACAGTTGCTCCATACCAGCAATGAATTCAACAACTTACCTGATCTTAAGATACTTAGTACTAGGTTTACCTGATCAAGCTCAATCGAGGGACTACGCAACTGAGCAGCACCTAATCAACGACATCCGCAGGTAAAATAGAATTTCTGAACAGATACATTGCATTTTAAGAGTGGAAGTCAAGTGCATACCATATGCATTCCCAATGGTGGTTGTATCTCTGAATCCCACGGTAATGGACAAGCACAAAAGGAACAATATCCAGTTGACCTCAGGTATGTAGATCTGGCCATGGATTTCTTTGGACGTGTGGATTACTTTGACTCTTGGGAAACAGCAGAGCGATACGCATTGCTTTACAATTGAAAAAGTTGCTGAAATAACAGCTTGGCTACCCACAATAGCTGCCAGTGTAGCGATCACAAACACGGGCCAGAAGACGGGTGCTGCACGTTGCCAGTGTAAGAAATTCAATCCGAGTGTACTTACATAGAAAACTTGGGTCATCTTTCCACATGCTGATTCCTACAGCAAGCTCTATGTTACAAAACTCAAGCATGAAAATAAGGAAAAAAATAAGTTTGCTTACTCGGAATTGACTTGTAAAAGCTTTCTGACACATCGTTTCGGTTCTTCGACAAGTAAGCGGCTTGCCCAAAGTACCCTAATATTAAAGCTGGATACACAACGGTTGTGAAGGCAATCTGCAACCACATTGGCAGTGATGAATTTACTAGTCCCAATCTGAAAGCAGGCTTAGTTCAAACCACTGCTGATGTTAATTAGGTCAATACGTTTTCACAATTAAGTCGACTTGGAGTTCCCTGCTCGTATGACACTCCTGAAACTTCTATTTGAAGTTCGAAATGCTGTAGGAGAAAGGTTTCTCCCAAGTCCAAGAAGTAGGAGGCATTTCTCACCGCAGTTCTTACGGCCTTACACATGTAAGCAACATCTAAACATGAGAATGCAAGGCGGCAAACTCCGCACAAACGTTCTTCTCAGTCTTTGCAGCGCCTGGGGTGTTCAAAGATATGTCACTCACCATTTCCAGGCCGCTGAGATGATCACAAGTTCTGACTTCAACAAACCCTAGCTCAACTTCAACAAACTAGCATACCGTGCGACTCCACAACCAATTGCAATTACTAGTTCTACGGTTGAAATAGCACCTTGATCGAGAGTTCGTTGAAGTGACCCAGATCTGCAAACATAGCTTCAGTACCTGTGCGCGTATGCCAGAGAAACTCGTCATTAGCTAGAAGTTCACCGTGGTATATCAAACAACAATCCTAGAAATTTCATATCCAAAACCTGATGAAATCATGAAATGAAATGTCCTACTCACTCAGATTCTGCTAGCAACGGGGTATTGAACATATCACTGTTTATTCCTCAAGAATCCTCATAAAGTTGAGAACTCTCGACTAACATTTCCAGAAGACGGAAGAGGAAAGAAGAAGGTAACCTACCAGTAATACACAGGACAACACCACCAAGAGATATCCAGCCATCCTTGCCAGCGCTTTTCAAGAATTTGTACATGGACACCGGGGACAACGCAGCCCAGATTCCTCGTGGATTGTAAACTATTATATTGTACACTCCAATGATAGAGATGCAGAGCAGCCACGCAATTACAATGGGTGCGAACAAGAACGCGACTCGACGGGTGCCGAAATGTTGCAGTACGAATAAGCCGAGCAGGATACCGCATGACACTGCAGTCACCACGCCTATTGTCACAACCCACCGATCAGCAATCTATCAACTGTGACAGAAAATGAGTATCGACCCTTCGCCTAATCTTATAATCAGATCTGGTACAGCAACATCCAGCCAAGGAAATGACCAGATTCCTCCCTAAACTGACCGCAGTCCTTACTACTCAGTACAATCTGAGTGAGTTCAGACACAAAGGTGATCTTCAATTTGCAGAGCATTGTGACCCATCTGAAGCACAAAACTTTTCGGAACGATAAACTGTCTAGTGTTCATTTTCATGAGCAGACTGTTAAGGAGAGGGTGAAGAGAGCAACAAAGCTGTTACTTACTTTCAGGGAGGTCCGGTGCTGCGACTCGAATACCTGTAACCGCTGATAACACTGCAGCAAACGTAAATGATCAATTTAAGTAAAAATTATGTTACGGAAACTTCCGCAAATTATAACGCAATTGCATGCGATGTCGACTTCAAAGGATCGCAAAAGATTGACATAAGGCGCAACAGCAAGAGAACTGTGTAGATGCTGCGCACCAGAAATGGCAGGTGTAAAAACACCATCCGCTATGACCATGCAAGTCCCCAGCAGGACCACTATGAGTAGCCCTTTGCGAAGATGAGGGTGCTTCTCAAACAGGTTCTTCACTCTCAATCCTACTTTTGTCTGCTCTGGCGTCTCCACCTTATACGTAGACAAATTCTGATCATCATCTTGTTGATTGGGCAACAAGCTGAGCTTGGCATGGCGGCACAAGAGAGAGTAGAGAGCAAATGTTCCACCTGTTCAGCCATACATTGTTTCAAACACAAAGCACATGACCTGACTTCGGCTCAAAATTCTCATACTGATCCGGAAAAGTGGGGTGGTATGAAGTAGCAATACGTAGACATCCATCATCTTGCAAATGAGTTTGATCACTTGCAGAGTCCATCACCCTGGAGCAAGACAAAAGAGGACACTAAACACTACTCGAAGAAAACTCTTGCTGTGAATATGAACCTTTCGGAAGCCCTCAACAAGATCGAATTACACACCTTCACCATTGTCACTTGCATTCAGCACGATAAACACATATTTGAGAAGGGGAATAATAGTCAATGTATAGAATATAAAAGATAAGACGCCAATTATCTCGTCATCACTTTCATACAAACCCAATCTGCCTGAGAATGTGCTGCGATACACGTAGAGAGGTGAAGTGCTTAGGTCTCCGTAGACTACGCCAAAGCTCTGGTATGCCAAAAACAAAATCGCCTTAATTGGTACATTATCCTGCATTATAACAATGCCCACCATCCCTTTATTAATAGCGCCAGTAACCTTTTTTCTGAGAAGTCCCATGTCGGATGAACTCCCTTACAAAAAGAACAGACAGGAATAAGTTAACTTTCATAGACTGTCCATGACTTACATCCAGTATGTGCATACAATACAACAGTTTCTACCATACAAGACCTGCTCGCATTTTGGAGAAATCACCCAATTAATTCACGCGACGTAAGCGATGCAACGTTCATTTCTAAAAGATTTAAGACAATCGCTTCAATACGATTTCAACAATAGACGAGAGTGAAGCATCGGAATGCGATTCCAGTGCTCTTGATGCACCCCAAGCTGCTAGACCGAATATGTCGCATTGTAATCCTTCGATGTCCTCGGAGCTTAAGAGCCAAAGCTAAAGTGCTAACCGAATTGCGTAAGTGATGGTGATAATTAAAGTTAATACATCGAAATTATATGACCTGATCTATGCTAACGAATCTATCACCACACAAGTACGAGCTCTATCTCGAACAGATGTAGAATGAGCACCTGCACCCAGTAGTCAAGGTTAAGATCGGTGTGAAAGATGAAGTACCTGATTTCTATATAGGGCGAGACGCCCAGACTCCGCATCCACGGCTGCCATGGTGATTACCCCACGTCTGGTTGTTCAGAGACGTTGTACCGAGCAATGGTTTCGAGCTCGAAGGTGAACTAATCAGCGCCTGGGTGGAGAGGGTAGCTTGAAAAAAGTGACGTGAAATGCTTGCACTACATTATGTGCTGCATCTAAATTATTCCCTGCTTCTCCGACATGCACACTCCTCTTTCTGATCGATGCCGTTTCGGCCGACCCACCGTTGATAGCGTGAATCTTGTCCTTGCGGAAAGGTGTCTAGTACTCAATCTGACCCACTCCACTTAGCATACGGTAGAAATGCAGACAACTTCTTCGTCATCCTCCTGAGTGTAGGCACACTTAAATTTAGCAGTTACAAGAAACCTTAAATCCCGGTGCAGCACAAGCACGATCAGAAACGAAATTCGGCCGGAAAAGAGCGTGTAAAAAATGATGGCTCAGCAATTCGCAAAACGTGGGGGAGCATGAAGATGGGGCGAGAGACAAGGCTAGAGAGGGTGTGGTGAACGCAATTGACGTTCGTGAAACGCAGAAACAAACAACAAGGTCTGCAGAAGAATATCAAATGATCAACAGAACAAGCCACGAAATAAAATTCAGAAGGGCCGAAACGATACATCATCGGAACAACCCCTCAAAGACCAACTCACGCCGGATAATCGTATTAAGAATATTCGACGGTGGCTTACGCCGCCACATTGTCCCGATCGCACAAGGCAGCCGTCAACTGTCCCGGAAGAATCCTAACTACCACCAGAAAAATTCGACAGAACCACGACGACAACAACAACGTCGCTAGCCAGCGGGTCTGACAACTTCAAACGGAATCTAAAAACCACTATTCCTGTCCAGACCAAAAACGTGGAAAAGGACACAATCAGACAGGGAGTACGAGATGCAACCTTGAGCCGAATATAGGTGTGTCAGCGGTGCGGCAAGCCCCAAATTCCATATGAGATACCAGCATCCAAATCTGCTCACCATTCGGACTAGCTACCCGCAACTCATACCAGCAAATGACTAAAATTGCAAAGGGACATCATGGAATCTAACCCAATACTAGTCCTCCTCTTGCGAAGCTAGCTATACTAGACGGAATCTTCCGCTGCAGCGCTACGCACCCCCTTCAAACACTGTCAACAAGCTATGGCCGAAAACCCAGAAACAAACTCTACCACTACAAGGCACGAAGCCAGCAACACACACACTCACACTCAGACCGTCTTGCAGACGTATCTCGGTGATCCAGCACACCAGACTAGGAGAACATACGACGATCGACGTCGAAGACAGACGTGTGAATTGAGGGATTCGCTAGGAGCAACGGATATTGTGAGCATAAGTGGAGTCAGCGCTGGGAGCTATTACTGCCTGGGCCATGCTTTCCTCCGGCCGAAGCGGTGACGCTTCGTACCCATTCCGCTAGATGCTCACAACTCCCTCTCAACCCGTTTCCAAATCTCTCTGACATGGACGCAAGTGGGATCATCATACGCGCTGTAAAATCTGGTGGCACTTCAGCCTTGTGGCGATCCCTGCATTGTCATTCTCTCACGATGCTCGGTCAACTCGACACCCTGCTGGCCCCACAGCCACACCGCTTTACCCCCCGAAGTCTCGAGCCCGCCGTTTGCTTCACCACTGTCATGCGGTTGGAAGATCTTCGCAACCCAGCACGCAGTCCTGATCGAACACCACCCCCATGTGCTCGGCATCTCCCTCAGCATATCCATGTCACTACTGCTTGCATTCTCACGTGACCAGGAGTTCCATTGAATGGTGCAAGTCCACCGAGCTCACAATCAACGGTTCCCGTCCCGGCCGTCGGGACACACCATGTCAAATCTCATGGCCTCGCTTCGAGACTGCTCCCCGTGGGTCCTACACAACGCTGCGAGATATGCTGTGAATTCCACACCAAATGACGACGACGACGACGACGGAGGAAACGTGCTCCGACGGCGTTGTGGACAACGCAGCTGGAGAAGGCTAGTAGCTGTACACCCAATTGGAAAGCTCAGGTCTTTAGTTGTTTCTTCTGCTGTTTGGTTGTGTTTTGTTTCGTTTTCGGTTTTGTTTTGATTGATTGTTGGAGTGTGATGAGGGACGATTTTGGAAGAATGGGTTTTTATGGGTTATATTTAGTAAGTGCTGTGGTGTCAGAGTATAGCGGCGCTCTTTTTTCTTTCTTTTTTTCCTCCCTCTCTCCCCTCCCTTCCACACCCTCATCTCCATGACCCATAATCATTCTCGCCCTAAAGCCACGCCTTTCTGCTTGGAAAGTGCAGAGTTGACCATGTTGGGGCACCACTTCAGGCATCCTTTTGCTTTGGGGACATTACTCACGTGAAGTTCATTCGTTCCTTCCTGGTGGGTAGGTGGGTTTGATTGTTTGTTTGTTTTTTGCATGTTGGTGTGTTCTTGCACTTCAACTGGACATTTCAACAACAAGCTGCGTCAATATTGGCCGAGTTGATGCATATGACTATTTGGAGTGGATATTTCTTGTGTTCACAGCTCATTTATGAATTTTGAATTTTGTTGATTTTGAGACTTTGGTGATAAATTATTATTGTTATTATTTCCTTTTGACATAAAAATGGGTTTATTCAATGCATTGATATAGTGAACAAAGTACTAAAACAATACTAAACTCTTTATGCCTATGCAAGGCAAAGTTAAGAGTACAATGTGATGAAATTGTTGCTGCTCTTTACACTTCTACTCTTTTGTATATTACTAAGTCAGATTGTGGTACTCTAAAGTTCAATTTGATTACCTTGTGCATTCTAGAGTTGACTAGGTGTTTTGCCTTCTTGTACTTATTCCATTTCTTTAAAAGACTTATTACATGTTTAGAATATTTTGCTAATGAATTTCTCATAATTTTTCAACTAATTTGTTTATATTCTAATAAAACCTTCCAAATTATACTTATAATATGGAGGTTACTTTATACTTCGTTTTACAAATATAGATTTGTTTCTTTCAATCCAAATAGTTTAAAAGCAAAGGCCTCTTAACAATGACCATTTTTTTGTGAAAACATTTAAATAAATAAGGGATATTATATGAAAAAATAACTTGCATTAATTTAAAAGCTTTTCAAGGCCTTTGTTTTGAAGGATTAGATCTTAATTCTATACAAAATAGAAGTAGAATAGTTCCAAATTCTATGAACTTGATTGCACTTCCAAAATCTATGTAATTTCTACTTTTAAATTTTGAAGGATGTGTAAGGCACAATAAATGTTAATGTTTAGACTAGTTTAACCTCTCCACATATTAAAAACAATACTCTAATGCCATAAAGACCAAATATACATTGCCTCTTTGCAAGCACAAGGTTTGATCCAAATGTAATATCATTTAAAAAAAAATTATGTTCTACAAAAGAAATTTATTTATTTGTTATCAAATTGGTATGTTGAGAATTTTTTTAGATTGTTTCTTCTTAAATTTGACGAAAGTAGGTCAAAAATTCATGTTTTGTTACCTAAAAGTATGAGTTAGAATCAAAGATCAATTTTCTAACAAAGCTATAGAATAGGTTGATGTATTTCATTTTTATTTTTTATTATTTTAATTAGAGTTGTTTTTAAAGTTGTTTTAACCATTTTTTTTTAAAAAATAACCACTTAATTCTAATTGTAACAAGAATGTTGGTTGTCTAGATCTTTTATTATAGTGGAAGATTGATTTTAGACATCTACTCTAATTTTTTATTTTAATAGATTAAAAAAAAAAAAAAAAAAAAACATCTTTATTTTCTATAGTCATTTTATATTGAATGAAATAAAAGACCATGAATAATCATTTTTTCTTCAATATATATACAAATCAATCTAATTTTAATAGTTTTGTAAAGCTCAAACTTGTTGAAGTATATCATTCTATATTTAGAAAAGTTATTAATAGAAAAATTCTCCACTTAATTAATGACAATTGTAAGTTTGTGTATAGATCCAACTATTTGTAAAGTACTTTGATGCCATCTTTTAAATCCCAAAACAATATACTAGGATGTTCTTTCTCCAATTGTAAATAATATAAAAAAATAAAAATAAAATGATTAATTGATTCATGACATAAAGATAGAGAAGGCGTTTTTTGATGTTTTATTTTTTATTTTTTATTTTTTTGCTTTGAAAAGATTAAGTTTAGATGTTGAAGTCATCTACAATGCATAATAAAATAATTCATAAGAATTCCTAATTACCATGTCAAAACTCGATGCATTTTAATAATATAATTTGAAATTCATCGTGATTACATAAATACAAAAATTGATGCATTCTTATGCACTCAAGATCATCTTTATGTGAAAGAATACTAGTTATCACATTTTATCATAAAAAGTTTTGCAGTATACTTTTGTAATCAACAATTTTACATTATTATTGCAAAAAATATTATATTACAATTCGGAATTAAAAATTCCTCTTACACATAAATATGCACTATTACAAATATTAACATCTTTGTTAAAAGAACACTCGTTTCAATTTTATCTCTTTCCATTGATGTTTACTTATTTTAATGTAACTGTCAAATTCACATAATGCTAAGGGGTTCACAGGAGAAATCAAGGTTCTTAAACATTAACCAACTTCCTTAACATGGTCCCAAGATTCAAAGCTGATATATTTGATCGGCCTTGGAGCCATGTCGAACCTTAAAGTGTGCATTCATTTATATTTTGAACAACATAATGATTTCATAAACTGCACTCTAATGTAAAACCTTAAGGCTGACTCTGATTTTTTAAGATGAGCAAACTGGGTGCTTCATTGCATGCACTGACCTAATTCAGAGAAATGGCCCCCACTGGAACTTGTCGACAGGACCGAATTGGATACGACGAATTGTAACAGCAGCCCGCTCAGCATCGCATCCGCAACATCACGCATACCAATCGTCATGGGCTTGCGAAGGACGATTTTTTGTTTTGCATCAGTTGTTCCAACGGCTCAATTCCCCATCGGCTGACGAACTCAACACCACGAGAGAACGCCACACCATACCACACCATCGCCCTGATGACAGGGACAATTTTGTGATCTTAGCCCTTCGAGGAGCACCAAAGTATGCGTGGCAGCAGAAGAGATTAAAGCAAACCACTCAACCGATTTCGCCGCCATGGGCCACTCCGACTACCGATTAGAACGCACCCCATCACGCTTGTGTGGATCCACCTGAACGGCTCAGCATTCCCTCCCACGTGTGCTATACCTTTCATGCTCGTCGACATGCAATTCAAATGCGCATATCTCACCGCGCCTTTAACAACGCTCTAAAATGGGCAACAAACATTTAACTCACACTCCAACAATCGTCGCACGAGTTGAAGAGCAGTGGCGCCGCAAAGAAACGGCCAGTAGGAATAACACCCAAAACCCACACGTATGCAATCTCGAAAAAATAAGCTTCCAGAGATTACAACTCTCCATTCTCATTAACGGTGCACACTATTCAGGGCCTCGAAGTGGACATGGGGGATCGATTGCACAGCAGTGATGGTTCTTCGCAATGAGCATGTGGCTGCGAGTTCGACAAGCGCACGTGAAGCTCGGCCGCAGCGCTGAAGCAGCAGACAACCCTCTTGAATACTGTGACAAACTATTCCGCACAGAATAGAATATAACAGAATAAAATCAAACCTAGTTGATGGTTGCGGATGCGCACGGGATTGACTACTCGGGATGCCTAAAGTGCAAGTTCCAAACCCCAAATTTGTGAAGGGATCGTCGCGGAAATCGTGCAAACAGAGCTCTGGGCTTCAAACCTAGAAATAGGGCTTTCGACACGAAGGTTCGCGTAAGCACCGCGGCTTGAGTGTGCTGACGTGGAGCAGACAGGAAAGTGAACGATGGTCCAGGTCATGAGACCATCGGGATTGGGGCACTTCTTTGGTGATGGGGCACATTTCATTGGAAGCTTCCATGTGAAAGTTTTACACCATTCTCTTTTAGACCAAATTCGTGTTTGTATGAATATTTATTCGTAGATATTGTCTCAAGATAGAAAAAAAAAAATGCTTGAGGCAAATGCAAGCTTTTGATACTTATCAAAAAGTAGACTTAGAGAATAGACTTCAACAATGTTTTACTTGTGTAATTCTTCCTGAAATTTAATTTTTATAAAATTTAAAAGAATTCAGAAAATATAGATTTTTTGTAGTATTTAATATCTATATTTATGAGTAGTAAATTGGTGTCTACATTTTAGACAATGTTGTCAATTCTGTAACAAATCTACAAGTGAAACTTTGTGTGTTTGTGCAGATACTTGTAATGTATGTATGACTTAGATTTGAGATTAGTTGATTGGACAAATTTGAAGTTATTGGAATTAAAGTGCATCTGAATATTAGTAGTTAGTAGTTTGAGGAATGGTAAGGATTGCAATGATTTACAAAGATTTGTTGATTAAAATTGAACCAAAATTTAGTAGGATTATAGCTCATGTAAAGACCAATATCCATACAAATTTTGGAAGAAGAAAAACTTGGTGCTAAGAGTTTAACATCAAGGTTAACAAAGGAGGTTGTCTAATACTTGAGCAAAATTTTTGTCTTTTCTTTTGATCTATAAGTGCAATTCTTAAATTTCTTAAATTTATTACCAACTAAAAGATTAAAAAAATAATATTTTTTTTAAAAAAAATCAATGATTGATCAAAAAATAATAGAACTTTGAATTTGCTATTAAATCCACTTAAGATTGATTATGATTTGGTTAAGGTTTTTTAGGATTTATTAAAGATTCATTAGAATTTGGTTAGGATTTTTCTAGAATTAACTTCTAATTTTCTTACAATTTTTTAAATTTTTTTTTATAATTTTCTAGGATTTTTTGTAAAATGAATTTTAATTTTCTTATGATTTAATAGGATTCTTTTAGGATTAAATTTAAATGTATTTAAGATCTTATCAAGATTTAATATTTTTTTAATAATTTATTTAGCATTTATTTAGGATTTATTTTAGATTTTTTTAGAATATTTTAGATTATTTATAATTTGATTCAAGTTGATAGGATATACTTAGAATCTTTTTAGGATTTAATAAAATATATTTAGGATTTTTTTGACTTACTAAAGATTTTATTTAGGTTATTTTTTCTTAAATGGATTTATTTTTTTGGATTGATAGAAGTCAAAATTAATTGACTTAAGGATTTCTACAAAGATTTAAATTGGTAGGACTATGATTTTAAATACAAAATTTATATATGGATCATAAAAAGAATTTTTATATTTAAATATAATTCGTCCATACTACAAGTCCAATGCATCCTTAATCTAAACTTTACATACTACAAAAATTCTTACATTTGATATATTTACAAATAAAAATTCTTGAAATAATATATTAATTAATGGCTTTTTATTGTGTAAAAAAATTTACTTGTATAAAATTTTGAAAGTCAAATAAAGTCTTTTGCAAGATTTTCATAAATATATTTGTTCAAAGTAATAAGTATATTATATCATAAATTATAAATTAATTCAAATGGTGATTGAATTCATATTAAAGACAAAAATTTAAAGATTGTTAATAAATAAGTAAGATGTATCTTAAACAAAGATAATAATAATAATAATAATAATAATAATTTAAATTTTTATTTATTCAAGAGAAAATTAAAACAACTATTATCAAAGTTTAAAAAACTAAAAACTCTTAAGGCTAGAATAGAAGTAAGAAAAGAGTTGAAAAAAGTGAAGAAGGCTACACTCTTGCTTTTATATATATTAGACAATTAAGAGCTATGTAGCAGTATTTTATAGAATCTTCAACACATGTCTAACTTGCAAGGCAAGTTTCCTATATATGCACTTCATGACCAATTTATATCATAAGTAGTCAAAATGTGTAACAAATGGCTAAGTTTTCATCGTATCAAACACCTATTGATTTATATGAAGTCAAATCCACATTTATAAAGTTTTTAAAAAGTTTTTTATCAGATATTATATAATTTATCAATTTTTACTTATTTCTACCTAATTCTATTTATTTAGATAATTATTAATAATGATTATATCTTTGATAATACATCTTCTTTTATAGATGATTTATATTAGAATTAGTGATTACATGTTGACAAAGTCAAAGATGCAACAAATTGTATCTCCTATAAATTGTAAGCTTTATTTTATTCAAAAATAATTGATAGGTCCTTTGAATCATTTATAATATTCTATATCAAAGCAAAAAGACCACCCCTTTATTTAATCATTATTAAGGCCTTTGTAACTTCTTTAAATAAAGCATTTAAAATATTATTAGAAGTGGCCTCTACTTTTGTAATATCACCAAATATCCAAAATTTCTTTTAAGGTTGTAATATCAAACATTTTGTATCTCACTATTTTTTTTTAAAAAATAATTCAATGTTTTAAAAGATATTAATCTTTATTGTATCATCTTTAAGGTTACTAAAAATCTCTTTACATTAACTCCAAAGTCTTATTGTATCTAAAATTTCTAGCAATTACATAGTTGTGAGAAGCTTAATGAGCATGTAATTATGCTGCATCTTCTAGAACATATAAGTATCATTTAAAATATAATAGATTATATGAGCATTCAAATTTAGAAATATCACGAGTTTTAGAAGGATATTTTTGAATATTATTAATAAGAGAATATGAAAAAATCTTAATTTGACTTGATGAAGAAAGATTAAATCAACAATCAATATTGATTTTATTACTTGAAGATGAAATTTCTCTAGCTTTAATAGATTTATCCTTTATTGATCAAAAGTTACATCTTTTTCTTTTGATACAAGATAAAAATATGTAGAAATGGTATTTAACAAATCTTATTGTTTTTTTGGCCAATAAGTCATATTGAATTCAAATCTCGATGTAGACATGCTTTATCAAGTTTAGAAACAATTCAAAATATGTATTGATATTAAATAGTTAAGATTCTTGTCACATATATAAATAATTATTGGACTAACAACACCTATCAAGGGCATGAACTAAAAGAAGATGTATAAACTTGTGAAATTTGTGTTAAAAGAAAAGTAACAAAATAGAAATAAAAAAATTATGTATATTAAAAGGAAATTAGAATGACTATTATCATAAGATAAGGAAACTAAAGACTCTTGAATTTAAACTAGAAGCAAGAAAAGAATTGGCAAGAGTAAAGAAGGCTTCATTCTTGCCTCTATATATTCAATTTATCTATGATCTATGTAGCAACATTCTGTAGGACTTCCAAAAACGTATTGATTTTGTATGACATGTATCTTAACTTACAAGGCAAGTTTTCTATATAAGTACTGCATAGTTAGCTTCTTTTTCAAGCTATCAATATATGTGGCTCATAGATGGCTTTTTGACTAAGTTTCTAATCTATCAATCAACTACAAATACATATAAAGTCAAAGCAATATTTAATAAGCTTTTAGAAAGCTTTTCTAGAAGATATTATGAAATGAATCTATTTTTATCTAATTCTACTTATTCATATTACTAAGTAAAAATTACAATATATATATTTCTATGACATTATTTCTTCTTCTAGAGATGAATTTCACAAGGAATGGTGATTATATGTTGATGAAATGTAAGATGTGGTAAATTGTATTTATCATGTATTTTGATCTTTGTTACTTTCAAAGGTAGTTCATAGGTCTTCTCAGCCATTGGTAATATCCCATTTAAGGACAAGAAAATCACCCTGTCATTTGATCATTATTGAAACCTTTATAACTTCCTTCAAACAAAACAATATTGATACTATCAAAAACTGTGCCTACTTCCAATAAAGTTACTAAATATTGAGAACCTATTTTCAAGTCGTGATACCAAACGCGTTGTAGCTTGTCATCTATTTGAAGAAGAATATATTATTCTTAAAGATCTTTATCTCTATTACGTCATGATGAGGCTGTGATAATTATAATATCTCATCATATAAGTCAACAAATAATGGTTATTGAACTGAATCTACTAGCTGTTGATTCTCCATCTCTTAAATGTGATAATTATATACTAACTACAAATAAGAATAAAAGGTAGAATACAATCTTCTGTAGACCTTGTTTCTTTTATAGCAAAGACTTACTATTCTTCATCTTAATTTTAATAGATATCATTGATAAAAAGCCTCCACCATCTTTACTATACTTATAAGATTCTTTACTGGCTCCCATGTACATTCATTAATATCATATCCATACTAATATACAAGATATTCTAACTTATTTTGGCACCGCTTTGAATCTAAAACTCCTTCCACTTCAAATTCTTTATTATTGTCTATTTCTATAAGAGAAGGTGGAACTTATCTTCTTTATAATATATTCACAATCTTGTATGGTTTTAGAAGAGACACGTAGATTATATAATAGATCTTCATTGACTTTGATAGATATAATCGATAAGTAATTGGATTGATTTGTATATAAATAAGAAAAGGTCCAAGCTTGTGGTAGTCCAATTTATGACAATGATGAGTAATCTTGATATTGTGACAAATTAATTATAACTTATTACTTACATTGAATTGTGGTTGTTCTTTTCAATAGGCATGTGTATTGATCTTTAGTTGTTCTTGAGTTTCTTTTAATTGCACCTTCATTATTACATGTAGTACAAAGAAACGATTTGTCAAATCTTTTGCTGCAAGATTATTAACTTTTGAAAAGTCAAGAGTATCAAGTCATTAATGATAACCATAATTAGCAAAAAAAGGTGTTTATTGCATAGAAGAATGCATTGTATTATTATAAGCAAACTCTATTGATGGCAAGAAGATTGTCCAATTGTCTTGTTAATAATTGATAGTATACTTTAAGTATTGCTATGAGTCATCAAATCGACTCATTAGTTGTTTTAGAATAAAAAGATGGATTAAGAGTGCTTAGAACTACAATACATGGTGAATAGTATAGAAATCTTCAGACAAATAGGAAATTCGTGTGTTAGTTGTAGAATTGGAGTCTTAGTAATTCTTAGAGGCAAATATCATAGTTGATTTAGTATTTTTTACTTATTATTGATTATTGAAGAATATTTATTAAGATAAATATATATAT